TTGGTTTTTGAGATATTTAAAGATATTTAAATTTGCATGCTACAATAGAATAGATTATTAACACCCTGTACATTACTTTTCAGAATTAATTCTTGTGCTGAGTTTAAAGGTAGAGAAATAAACTTTACAGAAAAATGTTATTGCTTCCTTAAATTTATACAGGGGTATAAAAAATTGCTGGTCTATTTTAAATATTTACTTTACATAAAAACTTCGTTATTTCAAATGCAACACTATGTATTTTTCTAAATAAGTCGAAGCAGATTTAAATGCTCTTTCACACTATATTAGGGTTTCGCATACCCATCTGGCTCAGATTTTGAATAAAATGCGATTTTTCAATAAAATCGTAATCAAGATGGCTAGTGTTTAGTGTTGTCATGGCAAGTTTCTAGTGACAGTTAGTAGCTATTTTCAAAATCGAAATTATTTTATGGACTTATTTAAATTTATATCAGTTTACTTTTATTTAATTTACCTACAATAGTTTAATAAATAATATTTATTAAATATGTGTTTATTATTCTATCAAGAAAAACGAAGAAGTAGTTCTTTGAATTATTTTACGATGACTTGTAGATATACCTATGCATTTTCTATAAAAGAGCCAATTATGGCAAATTCATTTTCTTCACTTCCAAACGACAAGTTTCTGTCTAATAGTTTTTTATAAACCACACTACCAGCTCTGGGAAATAGGACAAGCAGTTTTTCAAAGAAACGCTTATCAGGAAGATTCCTATTTGGATATCTTTGAGCATAAGCCCTTGAGGTCAAGAAGCAATTTTCCTCACAAAATAATATCACTAGTAACATACATACATATATCCCTTCGTTCCGCCAGCAGATACTGCTTTATTTTTCTTGATAAAGTAATAAATACTTACTTATTAAACTCTTGTAGGTAAATTTAAGTAAACTGTTATAAATTATAAATAATAATGTCCATAAACTAATGTCGACTTTTTAAATAGTTACTAACTGTCACTAGAAAATTGCCATGGCGACACAAGCCATCTTGATTACAATTTTATTTAAAAATCGCTTTTTATTCAAAATCTGAGCTAGATAGGTATAGGAAACCCTAATATAGTTTGAAAGAGCATTTGAATCTGCTTTGATTTATTTAAAAAAATACAGGGTGTTGCATTTGAAATAACGAAGTTTTTATATAAAAGATATCCTTAAAATAGATCCGCAACTTTTGATAGCCCTGTATAAATTTAAGGAACCAATACCATTTTTCAGTAAAGTTTATTTCTCTACCTTTAAACTCTTAAAAACTTAAAAGAATTAATTCTGAAAAGTAATGTACAGGGTGTCTATTCTATTGTAGCATGCAAATTTAAATATCTTTAAATATCTCAAAAACTAAAGATTTTAAACATATTTAACCCTTATAATAATTGCCTTTTTTGGGCACAAGAATCCAAAAATGAAATAAAATACTGGGTGTTCCATAAGAAAAAATATAACTTTGGTATAGATCTAAGTTCTGAAACACCCTGTATATTTCAAAATAATTTTAAATTGTGCACATTACCTCCCCACATATACCCATGAAATATTTTGTTTCTAAATCTTTTCGTTTTCGTATAATCAACCGAGGCGAATGAGGTGCGCCACCCTGTATTTTTTCAGGATATATTCTTAAGTTGGTAGATTTATAATAATTATTAAGTTGATAGAAAACCTATAAGGCGCGATTTACAATATAATACCGTCACCGTCACGTCGAGCCAGAAAACATGAAATGATCTAAAATATAAAATTTCGTTTAACAACAAATTAAACACAATTTGTTATACTTATTCATGGCTAAGCATTATTAAATCACACATAATAATAAAAGTATACTTACATTTATATTCATCAAAATCTCATTCGAAAAAGAATCTTTGTTGCAATATTGCAGATAAAATGTTTTAATCGCCTTTCAAAAACAATGTTTCTGTAGGAAGGTTTCATCAATCACGACACAACGTTTATAAAACAACATTACAAAGCAAGCTGTTTGGGGATTCACTGCAATGTTGCAAATGTAATGTGAATTTTTTTGTATGGTGAAAAGTCTCTAAGAATCACATCATATCTAACTTCTTTTCAGCAAAAGCAATTTAGCCTATTTTAGTATATTTAGTTTTAAAAAATTAGTCTGTCTCTGTATTATAAAACAAAATCGAATGATTTTGATTATTGCCCTATCTCAGTTTTTGTAGTCACAATCAATAGGAATAAAAGATTTTTTGTTTCTTCTGATGTAAAAACGGTTTACGTGAGTACTTAATACTTAGTTATATAGTTTATCTGATGTCAGTTGGAATAGATTGGGACTTTGAATTTCGGCACTGTCTTTATCGGCATTGTGGGAATAAAGGAATTAAGAGTCTCAGTACTTCCAATTGACCCCGGAAATACTATATCTTTGGTAGTTCTGGTATTTGGTACCTACATACGGTTGTCAAAATATGGTACCTATCGATATTTCAAGTTTAGATTCTGACAGTATAGTATTTTTGAAATACCGTATGATCGAATAAAAACGGCGTCAGCGATGGCTATGAAATGACGATCGATGACATTTCCCATATAATTTTATATATAAAATGACAATCTTCATTTCATAGCCGTCGCTGACGCCGTTTTTATTCGATCATACGGTAGTAATAATTTAATTATATTTTCTTACTGTAGGTACATATATTGCGAGGCCCGTTTTATTCCACATAGTGCTTTAACTATTATATGTTAATTAATTAACAGCAATAACAATAATTATTACTTATCGCGCAATTCTAAGAAATTTGACATTATACTAAATCTATATTCATATAATTTTGGCATTTGCAACATATTGGAACTATTTAAATATGATATGATTTAAATTTTTAAATGAATAAATCTGGCAGTCAATAATAGGTATACAGGGTAGTCCGAACTGTATTCCGGAAACTTCAGCAGCATATTCTGCAGATAAAAATAAGTAAAAAAGTTCTTATAAATGTATGTCCTAAAATGCTTAGTTTCGGAGATAGAGGGTGTAGAAGTTTCATTTTTATTTCGATTTTTTCCAAATAATTTCTGAAGTAAAATCAGTATTAGGATAAAATTTGATGTCTGGGAGTTTTTTGATATGAGAACTTCGAATTTGACGTCAATATGGCCCCTACTTGTAGGGGGCGCCACCTACATATTTTTAACTGGTTTGAAGAGTAATAACTTTTTGTCCGTAACTGTATAAAACTACTAAGTCAAAAAATTTACGACGTTTTTAACGTAAAAAAGATCTCTTACTAAAAATCGCTACGAGTAATAGTTCTCGAGATATTTGAAATCGAAATTATCAATACCTGTCATCATTGACATAAATTAAACATGTTGACTAAATAGTTAATAGACGGAAATCATAAATTTGAAATGTTTTTGTGCCAAATCATCATCAATCATCATTTTTTCGAAGAAAATTTTATGATTAATTTAACAAAATAAAATTTTTCCAAATTTATCTTTTTAGTCAAATAACTATCTACTCAACATGTTTATTTTTTGTCAATAATGACATGTATTGACTATTCCCATTCTAAATATCTCGAGAACGGTTGCTCGTAACGATTTTTACTAAGAGACATTTTTTACGTAAAAAAATACGAAAATGTATATTTTTTCACTCAGTAGTTCTATACAGGTACGGACAAAAAGTTATTACTCTTCAAAACAGTTAAAGCACATGTAGGTGGCGCCCTCTACAAATAGGAGTCATAATGATATCAAAATCAAATTTCTCATGTCAAAAAACTATCAGACACCAATTTTCATCCAAATATTGACGCATAGATAAATGAAACAAGTTTAGATTGGAAAGTGCCCATAAGGACAATGTAAACACTATTTGGCGCTATTCTTGCAACGGTCGCGACCCAAAACTTTTGAAAATTTCGGAGCGGTTCGGCTTTTTCCGGAATTATATCGCCAAATATTGTTTATTCAAATTTATTATTTTCGTTTAATTTTATAAATAAAATACAGTGTGTTGCATACAAGAAACTTTATTTTATATAAGGACGCATGTATGAAATACCTATGAAACATTGGAAACCGATGTTATGCCACGATCCATGATGGTTTTTGCAGTTCACAGTTCACAGCACAGCTTTTTAAGTTTTTAATGCCACTTTTTCACAATTATCACCGGTTGGAGTAAATAAAACTTGAATTAAACTCACAAGATAGCAATAATTACTTTGAGAATGGACGCTATAAACACTTTTCAGAATTTCTTTAATGAGAGCGCTTTAGATTTTGAAAGATTATTATGATTTTTGAAGATTCTGACTTTGACAAGAGAAAATTATTTCTGTTTTTGTTTGCCGTTGTTCTTAGCGACCGCTATAGCAGCGCCAGATCGCCTATAACGGTCGCGACCCAAAATAATTTCGCGATCCAAAATTTTTACGGGCTTTCCAATCTAAACTTGTTGCATTTATCTATGTATTGACGTTACTTACTAGAAATTATTGGGAAAAAATCGAAATAAAAATGAAACTTCTACACCCTGTATCTCCGAAACTAAGCATTTTAGGACATACATTTATAAGAAGTTTTTTACTTCTTTTTATCTGCAGAATATGCTCCCGAAGTTTACGGAATACAGTTCGGACCACCCTGTATATTTATTTTATTAAAATTAATATAAAGAAATACGAAGATAAATTAGACTCGACCTGTCAAATAATATGAAAATCAAAACGTTCCTATTTCATTAGAATAAATAAAACTACATAAATTTTATTTAATTGTAGAGAACCAAATAAATACCTATGCAAATTTCAAGGGTGTTCAAGATATAAAAGTATCTAATATCCATTAATTTGAATAGCTCTAATTGATTTAACATGAAGAATCATCGTCTGGGACTATACAAACATTTTAATAATAATGCACATATTATAAAACTACGACTGCTTAATGTCAAGGATTTCAATAATTTTTATATGGGTCGATGTCCCAACAAGGATGCATTATTTAAAGACAAGACTAGAAGAACCAAAAAAAATTATTGTCTGTAGTGAAATTGAAAAATAACCACACCTTCCTTTTTATAAAGAGTAGCTCAATTCGAAACATCCTGTAGATATGTATGTTTGGCTTCCTGTAGTTCCTGCGCTATTTTGCAGAAATAGCAGGAGTATTATGTACCTACAAAAGATTTTTAGTGTAAAAGTGTAACTATGGTTTTGTTTTAACTTTTTTTGATAAAATGGTGAGTTTTTTTGTCTTTTAATATTTCCGTTGTAGTATTTTCAATAAAAAAAATATTAAAATTTGATTCTGAGAAAGTGAGGTTATTATTTTTATTGATTTAAATTTAAAACATTATTTAATGTCGGTGGCGCCATCTCTAACCAGAACGATAAACTTTGTCTCCAGCAACAGTAGATTTCGTTTCATATTTGAAATGTGTTATAGCTACCGTTACAATGATGGCTACATAGAGTCTATTTATAGTCTATTAAAATATCTACTATTATCTTTATCTAATATACATACATGTACGAATATTATCTAATTAAAAATTTTATTTAAAAATTAATCAGTTATTTATTTATTACTTAAGTCATTAAAAATACTTAAATCTTTTTAATATGACTTATGTCTTTTCTAAAAAGACTTAAATCTTTTTCTATTCAGAATAAAAATTTAAATCACAAGTCAATCATCAAAAAGACTTACATTTTAAGTCTTAAGTCAGCCTTCGAAAAATGGTTTAAAATTAAAATACTTAAGTCATTAAAATTATTTAAATCAAAGAAAGACTTAAATTTTTTGTGCGCTTGCAGAGCTCTGCATATGTACAGGGTGACCCATTAACAATAGCTCTCGGCTGTATCTCGGAAAGTATTAGGTATTAGCCGCAGGGCTTGCGGAAAAAAATATTTATAACTAAAGAGACTATGAGAGATTGTTGAAACCCTTGTTTATACATATATAATTTGGCTGAAACTTATTTTGAAGTTTGTAGAAAGGCCGCTAGAGGGCGCAAATGCTATAAAAAAATAAGAAAAAGGAGTTTTTCCGCAATTTTGCCTGGATAACGGGTATTATAAATAATAACTTCATAATCTTCAGTAAATTTTGAATTTTTTTTGTTAGAACCATTTTCCCTTATTTGCTAAAATAAAGTAGTGGGGGAAGGTTAGATCTGCTTTTATTTTAATATTAATAACTCCGGACTGGATGATCGGAATCCAACAAACGGGAGCTCGTTTCAAAGAGCATTTCTTACTCTATATTATACCGTATAAACAATAATAATAAGCTTTTGAATGTAAACGCTAGGGGGCGCTGACTTACACAATTTAACAAACATTGCGCATTTTTTCAAAATAATTAAATGCGATAGTATATGTAATTTTAGCTGATAGTAAAGAGTAGTGAAAGCTTAAAAAGTCAGCGAAAACCGCATCTTGATATCCTTTTTCAAACTGAAGATATTAGCAAAATTATAATAACTACGAAAAAATAAGCTCTTAATTATTTTATTTTTATAACACGGTTACCGTAGCCCTCTTGATTATGACTATTCTAATAAAAAATAAGATAGAAACTATTAATTTGTTCTAAAATCGACAATATACCAGAATACCATAATACCAGATGTATTAATTTTTAATAATTAAGATATCAATGACAGTGAATAAAAAAACGATGCCCCAGTGAAGTCATGGTAGGCTTTGGAAAAAAGTTGCTTTTGACGTGATACTATAAACGTCAAAGTGTTATTTGATCAACATTTTGATAGTCTTGGCAGCGTTTTTTATCTTTTGATTGCTATTCTAAAAATGCCTTTCTTCAAAAGAGAAATAAAACGCTGCTAAGACTATGAAAATGTTGATCAAATAACACTTTGACGTTTATAGTATTATGCTCTTTTAAACGAGCCCCCGTTTGGTGGATTCCGATCATCCAGTCCGATTATATCATCCAGAGTTATTAATATTACAATAAAAGCAGATCTAACCTTCCCTCACTACTTAATTTTGGCAGATAGGGGAAAATGGTTCCAACAAGAAATATTCAAAATTTACTGAAGATTATGAAGCTATTATTTTTTATAGTACCCGTTATCTAGGCTTTTGCCTATAAAAAATAAGAAAAAGGATTAAGAAATTTACGCACAAAAGTGCGTAAAAACTCCTTTTTCTTATTTTTTATAGCATTTGCGCCCTCTAGCGGGCGTTCTAAAAACTTGAAAATAATTTTCACCAATTTCTCATAGTCTCCTTAGTTATAAATATTTTTTGCCGCAGGCCCTATGGCTAATACTTTCCGAGATACAGCTGAGAGCTATTCTTAATGGGTCACCCTGTACATACTTCGTATATCCGAACACCAATTTAGGATGTGCCATTGTAAGATATTCAACTTTAATTAAATTTTGTTCAAATAAACCATCATAATTATATTCATTATTGTATGATAAAGATAAACATAATATACCGGGTGCGTCTCAAAAGTGGCTCACTCCTATAACTTTTTTATTTTTTCAGATAAAACAACGAGATTTGGTATGTTAATATATGACATAAATTGGGATTGATTAACGTATTCAACTGTTTTCGGTCACTTCCGGTTTCACCGGAAATGACTACAACTTTTGATTTTTAAATGGCACCCTCGGTATTTTTTTACTTTATTCGATAGAAAATGACACTCTGAATCGTCACGTATCATATGTCAATTTTTGACATAGTCACTCAAAAACAAATTGTATTTTAAATTTCAATCTAGAGTGCCATGGCTGTGTTAAAAACACTAATTTTTAATCAAGGAGCCTTGGAAAAATAGAATTGATCGTCCAATATGTTTTTAGTGTCTTGTCCTGGCCGGTTAAAAGATGCCCAAATCGTATTTTTAATCATATCTCAATTTTTTCAAATGGAACGAGGGTGGCTCATTAGCATATTTGGAAAAGGCATTTTTTACGAATAATTTGATACCATACACTTGGTATTTTGAGTGAAATTGTCGTTATGAACCGCATGTTACAATTTCAAATAAACCATATGCCAAAATGTCAAAAGTTGACATATGATATGATAGATAGATAGATAATGCTTTATTTATTTCCTTATTGTATAATACAAAAAGAAACCCAAAAAAAGGGCATGGAAACAATGTCAGTAAAAAATTTTAAAAGAAAATAATTGCATATTTCAACAAAAAATGAACTATATGAACAAAAATAAATAGTAATATTAAAATTACATATTTTATGAAAATAATAATATTATGTTAAAATAATAATATTATGTTATTCGATTCAGAGTGTCATTTTCTATCGAATAAAGTAAAAAAATACCGAGGGTGCCATTTAAAATTCAAAAGTTGTAGTCATTTCCGGTGAAACCGGAAGTGACGGAAAACAATTGAATACGTCAATCAATCACAATTTATGTCATATACTAACATACCAAATATCGTTTTTTTATCTGAAAAAAAAAGTTATAGGGGTAGCCACTTTTGAGACGCACCCGGTATATCTATTCATATTTAACATTACACTTGTTGATTATATGCTTGCTTTAAGGTCTTTATATTAAGTACTATAAAATTAGTTTCATGTATTATTTCAGAATATCTTTAATTGTTCTCATAATATCAATATAAGAGGATTTGAAGATGATGAGGTTGTAACGTATCCATTAATTAGATTAACGGGAACGGTAGAGTGGAATGAAAATATTCAATCCTGCCAAGAAGAAACTTCGAATTTAATACTATTGATCAAAAATTCTAATGCCAAATTAAAAGTTAGCTGTTACGACAATAAATTTAAAGTGTTATTGGAGTTAGACGAAGGAAGAAATGAATTTTGGTTAACGTATGGTTGTCGAAGTCGGAGTATTATTCTTAGTTATAGCCCGTTGAAAAGTGATTATCAAGTGACGCCTTTATATGTAATATGCGAAGGCCATAATGGAAAATTTCAAGGTAAAAATCAAAACTATGAAATTGAGTTTTTGTAATTATTATTCAATTTATACATGGTGTTTATAAAGTAGAATGTAGAATATAAGTATGGGGGGGGGGTTAATCACCGCAATCTTACAGATCTATTGTGCCCCCCTTTCTTGAGTTATAACTCATCATACAGTTTCAGGGCTTTCACAAAAGACGGTTTTACCGAGGTTAGTTCTCCATCTCCGATATTAGTCGTATCAAAGTTCATGGCACGAATGGTTGTTGTCTCGGCGCATTCAAAGATGAGGTGTTCTGGTGTTTTCCCAGTTATTTCATTAGAGAATCTATACAGGGTGCTACAAATTTGAGGTACGAGCATTTGTATCTCGGAAACCGTAAGAGATACGAAGATGGTTAAATTGGGGCAAAGTTGCGCTTTAGGATGTTCACCAAGATACCATCAAGAAAGTTTTAAAAATTTTAAGGATTGCTGAGTTTTTTGGAAAAAACGGATTTTTTTGAAAATAAATTTTATTTTTTCCTGGCGTTACTTTTTAGAAAATCAAAAAACCAATTGCACATTCTCATGGCTACTTTATTAGGGCTATCTGATAGTATTTTTATAATTTGTGAGATACAGAGGACAACTTAATTTTTTTAAATACGGACCTGCATTTTTTATTTCAGATTTTGAAAGAACTCGGTCTCCTGAGTACAATGATATGCCATATTTAAATTTTTTTTTGTTTCGGACATTTGAACACAATTTAATTAAACTAATGTTAAGTCCGGCTCTGTTTTTTTAAATATTTAATCTATTCATTGTTACAATATTGGTAAGCTTTCAAACTTAGCAATGACGTGGAGTAAAACATTGAATACGGATAATCAAATGCAATTAAATAATAAAAAATAATATAAAATTATTGGGCATTACTTGACGTCATTTTTAAAAGTGAGAATACATTTCAACATTACAATAAAGAGTACAGAATGCATTCGGAAGTATAAGAAGAAGATATGTTCAAAGAGCTATAAATAAGATTGAACGAAAAATACATTATTAATTTGTGCATTAGGGACGGTGGTAACCCTTTCGAACATGTAGAGCATTACTAGTTTTAGAAAAACTAGTTTGTAGAAGTTGATTTATTTATAATAACTACAATTAATATTATGCATATTATTAGATCGTACACTGAGATTTCAAAATCACAATAAAAAAAGTTATAAATAATATTTTTAAATTGCTGACCTGAGTATTATTTGTTTGAATCTTTCAATTGGCTCGATTCAGTGTTAATTAGCGCTGATCCATATTGTTGCGATGAATATAATCAGATTAAATAATTTAAAAAACCAGAGTGGGACTTGAAATTATTTTAAATAATAATTAAATAGTTTTTTTTATTGTTAAGGTACCTAAAACAAAAAGAAGTATCAAGTGCGACATATCATTGTACTCAGGACATCGAGTTCTTTCAAAACTATAAATAAAAAATGCAGGTCCGTATTTAAAAAAATTAAGTTGGCCTCTGTATCTCACAAATTATCAGCTAATTTGAAAATCTAAAAATACTATCAGATAGCCCTAATAAAATAGCCATGAATATGTAATTAATTTTTTGATTTTCTAAAAAGTAACGCCAGGATAAAATAAAATTGATTTTTAAAAAAATCCGTTTTTTCCAAAAAACTCAGCAATCCTTAAAATTTTTAAAACTTTTTTGATGGCATCTCGGTGAACATCCTAAAGTGCAACTTTGCCCCAATTTAACCATCTTCGTATCTCTTACGGTTTCCGAGATACCAATGCTCGTACCTCGAATTTGTAGCACCCTGTATATTCGCCGCTGATTTTTAGCTTCATTCTACTGAGCATGAGGTGTTCGTTGAGGAGAACTGTTACAAACCCTATCACAATCCGAAGATTATTCTTACTTAAATCAAGGAAAATCTTTGATTTTTCTCGGTCGTAAGTTCGAGTGTCTTAGACCGTTGGAAGTTTCCCATTCCAGGTTACGGACGGACTCTTCCAGGTTCTTGACTTTCGCTTTCATTTAGTTTCCACTTGCGAAGCAGAACGGTTCTGGTCCAGTCTGAGTTAGTGGAGTGTTCACTACTTTTCTAGCTAGATCGTTTATTTTTTCATTACCTTCTATCCCTTGGTGTGCTGGCACCCAAAGTGCACCTAAAACTTTATTATCTTTGCCTAATTTATTCAGCGTCAGTATTTGACCAAATTCGAATTGATGGTTACTGTGTTGATCGCTTTTAATGCTGCTTGACTATCGGATAAGATGCTATTCCTTGTTTGATTTACGATAGTTCTCATTTAAGAAAATTTGTCCGCGTCTTTCCATCGCGGAGATTTCTTCTTGAAGCGTGCTGGGGTAGGTGCTCATTGGTTCGGAGTATTTAGTTTTCGGCCAAGATTCTCCTATCCCTGTCCATGTTTTGGTTTTGGAAGCATCAGTATATCACGTTATGGTATGGTCTTTTACCTGCTGAGCAACCATTTCTCTTTTCCAATCCTATTTATTGAACAAATATATAATATAATACACCTACAGTGAGGTGTTTCTCAAAGTTGTACATTCTTGGTATCTTCTTCTTGGTTCTCTCCATCCTCGACATCAGCCGTACTAAAGTTCATGGTACGAATGGTCGTCGTCTCAGCGCACTCATTGATAAGGTGTTCTGGTGCCCAAGCAGCATTTAGACGTCGGGACAACGTTGTGTCACGCGACCAAACGTCGGGGCGCAACGTCGGCACAACCTCGTGCCAACCCTAGTCTGCACTAGTTTGGAGAATAATATTTGGGCGAAACGATGTTGGATACCGACGTTGGCTAGCAGCCTAATTTAGTACAAACTGCAACGTTGTTTAAAATCCTAATTCACGGAAATACAAAACTATAATAATATGGCGTCTAAGTCGCGTTTTATCCTAAATTGGGATAATTATAGTAAAAATATTATTTTTATGATTTAGTTTGGTTTGGCGTGAGACATATGCCAGATGGCAGTAAAGGAAAACAAAACAAAAGTATTTAAGTGTGGAGGATGTTTGAAGATCATAATTATTGAAACACTTTAACCGACCCTGTAACTCGTTACCCAAGGCAAAAAAGTTAAACGCAAACAACTTTATTGATAAATGTATTGTTTCTACTTTGAAAAATACTAATGGGCTTTAAAATTAAAGAAGTTTTAAAAAATTTCTTGAATTTTCCTTTTTTTAGTAAAATGAAAATAATTTATTCGCAGTCGAAAAAAATGTTTCCGCGTGTTGTTTATGGTCAAATATTTCAAGTTAATGTATTCAAAAAGCAGGAATTACTATTTTAGGAACGAAACATTTTCTTATTCAACAACATGGCAGCTTTCACTTTGTTGTTTTGGAGATTAAGATGGAGTAGTTCGAGTAGTCGCATACTGGACTAATAAAGTCGCAGTTCAGCCTTAACAGGTAGTATACTAGTCGCAAGATTGCCTAATTTAGTCATCTTAGAGTCTAGCTTGTGCCATCCTCTATATTCTAAATAAACGAGGTAGTGGATAAAGTATCGGTAATATGTCGATGTATATTTAAATTTAGTTTTATATGTACCTTTCTTATGTCCCATTTTAATTAAGTTTTTTTTTATAAAAACAAAATCAGCACTGAACTGTCTGACTGAACAGAACAATGAAGTGAAAATTTAAGATTTAAGGTTATGGTTCAATACAGTTGCAAAAAGGTAGTAGCTCGACGTCCTACCAACGTAAGAATAAGGAAATCTAAACAACGTTGGAATTAGGAAAACAGACGACGTTTGCATAACGTTGGAATAGGTTCTGAAAGTGACGTCGGAAAACTATTGCCCAACATTGTAACTACGTTGTCCGAATCACCTAAAGTTCACTTAAGCAAAAAAGGTTACAAGACAACGTTTATTCGACGTCGCAGAAGATTTTACTTTGTTGTAGCACTAGTTGAACGTCGGCACAACGTTACAACAACGTTTACATTTATTTTAATACCCAAGGTACGGAACTAACTATTTTTTGTAACTAATCCAACGTTGTGTTTAGTAAACATGTGGTTGCAAGTCGTGAAAATGCTACTTGGGTGTTTCCCCATTTTCCCACAGTGTCCTGTTAGAAACCCCGTGACAATCCGAAGATTGTTTTTACTTAAATCAAGGAAAACCTTTCAATTTTCTCGGTCGTAAGTTTTGAGGAACTTTTTCGAGTGTCTTAGATCGTTGGAGGACACCCATTCCAAGTTACGGATGGAGTCTTTAAAATTTTTCAGTTCCGGTTTCAGTTCCGGTTTCAGTTGGTTCCCGTTTGGAAAACAGAACGGTTCTGGTCCAGTTAGTGGAGTGTTCGCTCCTTTTCTAGCTAGATCATTTGCTTTTTCATTGCCTCCTATCCCTTGGTGAGCAAGCACCCAGAGTAGGAGGACTTTATTTTCTTTGCCTAATTTGTTGAGCTTCTCTAAGCATTCTTTGACCAATTTTGAATTGATGGTTACTGAGTTGATCGCATTTAGTGGTGACTATCGGATAGGATGGCAATTTCCTGTTTTCGATAGTTCCTATCTAAGATAAATTGTACGCATCTTTCCATAGCGTCTGCCTGAAGGATACTGGAATAGGTGCCCATTGGTTCGGAGTATTTAGTTTTCGGCCCAAATACTCCTATCCCTGTCCCTGCTTTTGTTTTAAAAGCATCAGTATACCACGTTATTGTATGGTCTTTTACATGTTGCAATGAGTAGGCGTTTCTTCCTTCCACTGTTCCAGTCATCCACTGGAAGTTGGAGAAGTGGAATTTTCGTTTTGAGGGTGTTCCAAGCCCCTGACCTGAAAATTCTCCCAGTACTGTTTCCGTCAATGACCCTTCTAATCATTGTCGCATTGGCATAACTACCGACGACAATGTGCAGTGGTGTTAGGTCTAGAATGACCTCCATTGCTGCTGTTGGACATATTCTCATGGCACCTGTGATGCAGATACATGCCAGTCTCTGTACTTTGCACAAGATGAATGCAATTCAGTTAAAATTTCCAATTTTACTTAACTTTTAGCGCCCTGTAGATTAACTACAGTATTACTTCTTTCATATATTTAATCATCAATTATTTATAGCTCCATCCAATGAGAACAATGATATCCAAAGTGCCTGTGATAGAATTTTACTTGCTACAAAATTGCTACAATGCTTCTCCGCTGAAAAAATGTTCGAGAATGGTTTAGGTAGGAAAACATTTAATATTGAAATGAAATGTCAAATTTTCCACAGTAAGGTTAAATGTCAGGATGTTCCAAGTATGAATCAGCAGCAACTATGGGAAAGTATAGGTAACTTTCAACTTTTTTTTATCTCTAATTTTTGCTATATATGTTTAGATTAATTGTATATTGCTCAGCGTCTTAATACAGTTAAAACATAAAATGATTTTGAAGAATAAAATTTGATGAAGCATAGTTTATCTTATGAATTTGGAGAAAAAGGATTTAAGTTATAATTAAAATTCTTTCTAGGTAGAGATATTATGACATCTGAAATAGGATCAGAAAAACAGAAATACTTAGCCTTTCTGTCCTGTACAATTTATCACGGTGATGGATATACAGATTCCATGAAGACTCATGAGGAATTAATCAATATTACAGACGGATATGTTGCATTAGGCGGAGGTGGCTTAGCTCTGTTTGGTACTGCTTGTTTATATACATGGCCGGAGAAAATTGAAGATATAATTTGTAAATTTGAAGACGAGACGCTGGTTGACAAAAGTAAATTCTTAGATGACAGTTGCTATAGGTATATAATTTTTGAATTTCCTACTGTTTTATTTAAACTAATTTCTTGTAGAAATTGGGTCTTCAGTTTTAAATTTCATAATATATTTGTACGTGATAAGCATTTGTTTTTTGTTGTATATTTTTGGAACGACAATAATATTTCTTCGTTTGAAGACGGTAGACGATTCGGTCAGATGTATCACTAACCGTTATCAAGTATCAACTAATCTAAATTCTAAAGCTAAAATTATTAAATTTAACTTCTTAGTTGTCTTTAAAAATTTTGAAATACAATATTTGGTTTAGTTTGGTAGGTAAACGTATTTTACAGGGCATAAAATAAAAAAATATATATTGCATGAAATAAAATACGTGTCTATAATTATTTTTTTTCTGGAAAATCAAAATTTTGATTTTATAGGTATATTTTTGTATTTAGTCCATAATATTGCAATCTTTTTTCTTGCATATATTTTTTTGAAAAAAAAATATTTTTATTTACTATACGGAGTGACACACCTCATTCGGCTGGGTTGATTATACGAAAACGGAAAGATGTAGAAACAAAATATTTTATGGGTACATGTGGGACGGCAATGTACATGACTTAAAATTATTTTGAAATGACCACCCTAAAGTTATATTTTTTCTTATGGTTTATTCATAAGAAAAAATATAACTTTTGGTGTTTACCCAATACTTTATTTAATTTTAGGATCTTCGTAATGTCGGAATGGCAAGTTTCTAGTGACAGTTAATATCTATTTTCTAAATCAAAATTTGTTTATGGACAAAATTTGTTATTTAAATTTATACGATTTACTTTTATTTAATTTACCTACAACAGTTTAATAAATAATATTTATTAAATATGTATTTATTATATTATCTGGAAAAACGAAGAAGTAGTTCTTTGATTTATTTTATAATGACTTGTAGATATATGGATTTTCTATGAAAGAGCCAATTACGGCAAATTCATCTTCTTCACATCCATCGACAGATTTGTGCCTAATAGGTTTTTTATAAACCACACTACCACCTCTGCGGAATAGGACAAGTAGTTTTTCCAAGCCACGCTTATCAGGCAGATTCGTATTTCGATATCTTCGAGCATAAGCCCCCGAGGTCAACAAACAATTTTCCTCCCAAAATAAAATCACTAGTAGCATATCCATTTGTTCTGCCAGCAATGCTGTATTTTTTTTGATAAAATAACGAATAGTTACTTATTAAACTATTGTAGGTAAATTTAAGTAAGCTACTATAAATCTAAATAATAAATCCATAAACTAATGTCGATTTTGAAAATAGTTACAAACTGTCACTAGAAAATTGCCATGGTGACACCAGCCATCTTTTATTGAAAAATACTATATAGGTATAGGAAACCTTAATGTAGTTTGAAAAGCATTTGAATCTTCTTCGATTTATTTAAAAAAAAATAGAGGGTGTTGCAGTTGAAATAACGAAGTTTTATGCCAAATAAATATTTAAAATAGATCAGCAATTTTTGGTACCCCTGTATAAATTTAAGGAAGCAATAATTTTTTTAGTAAAGTTTATTTCTCTACCAAAACTCAGCATAAGATTTAATTTTGAAAAGTAACGTAGAGGGTGTTGATAATCTATTCTATTGTTCTATGCATATTTAAATATCTTTAAATATCTGAAAAACTAAAGATTTTAAACATATTTAACCCTTATCATAAATGCATTTTTTAGGCCCAAATCCAAAAATGAAATAAAATACCCGGTGTTCCATAAGAAGAAAATTAACTTTTGTATGGATCTTAGTCTGAAACACCCTGTATATTTCAAAATAATTTTAAAATGTGCACATTGCCTCCCTCTTATACCCATAAAATATTTTGTTTCTACATCTTTCCGTTTTCGTATAATCAACAGAGTGAATGAGGTGCGCCACTCTGTACAAGGTGGACCATTTTGGTTGTTTCTATAGGGTATCTAGGAAACCGTGAGAAATATTCAAATTTTGATACTTCAGTCTCAGGTTCTTTTTTTGAAAAAATTACAATGGCGCAAACGGATCGTGGCTATCTTGATCGGTTTCGAAGCTACAGGGGGATTCTCAAATTTTGTACTTTTTGAAGATGTTCGATAGTTATTATACATTCTAAAGGCACTTTTCTGTGTAGAATGCAGTGGCGTAGTCAGACTTTTTTGGAAAAAAATATTTTTTGAGATATTAACTATACTTATGTTTTTTTAAATAGAACCCCCCGTATATTTTTTAATTTTCTTATTCAGCTTGGCATGGGCTTCTCGAAAATATATAACACTTTATATTTATTTTCACTATTAACCTCAACATTTAAATTTTTTCTTAAAATATCCACTTAGTAGATAGTAGGCCGCGCCGAGTAACAAAGTAAACGGTTGTCATGCTGATCGGAACATACCTTTGATGGATATGGGATATTTCATTTCAACAGATTGAAGTGTGTATTTTAAATAATAAAAAAACGAGTAAATCTGAAATTTTTGAGAAATATAATATGTCAGAATGTTATATTGAGACTAACAAACATAAGCAAATGGCAGCTGATTTATATTTTGAGCGGTATCCAGAGCGCGAGCAACCAAACCCAGCCATTTTTAAAAGGTTAGAAGATAGTTTAATCAATTTTGGATCTTTTCAAAAACCGCGTCTGAAAAATGATCAGAAAGAAGATGAATAAAATCAATATAGTAATGTCCTCAGAGCCGTAACACTAGATCCAACAACATCAAGTAGAGATATTAGAGCTATTGAAATGCTGTTAGCGGCGTGGCGGCGCCGGTGTGCGGAGACGGTAGAACCAAGACGGTTTACCAACTCTGTCTAGATAATAATGAGCAGCAGTCTGAACATTTAATGTAGTCTTCTGTCTAACTGAGAAGTCCGATTGAAGTAACCTCTTGAGTTTATATTAAAATATATTATTTTGTTTCTGTCACACTTATTTTTTATTTGCTTCGTATTGTTCAATTTTATTTAATGGCTAATTCATGTATTTGGCTCCGAGGACATTAATATATTGATTTTCTTCATCTTCTTAATAATAATAATATTCTTAATAATGATAATTTTTCGGACGCGGTTATTGAAAAGATCCAAAATTGATTAAACTATCTTCTAACCTTTTAAAAATGGCTGGGTTTGGTTGCCCGCACTCTGGCTACCGCTCAAAATATAAATCAGCTACCATTTGCTTATGTTTGTTAGTCTCAATATAACATATTATATTTCTCAAAATTTTCAGATTTACTCATTTTTTTATTATTTAAAATACACACACTTCAATCTGTTGAAATGAATTATCCCGTATCCATCAAAGGTATGTTCCGATCACCATGACAACCGTTTACTTTGTTACTCGGCGCGGCCTACTATCTACTAAGTGGATATTTTAAGAAAAAATTGAAATGTTGAGGTTAATAGTGAAAATAAATATAAAGTCTTATATATTTTCGAGAAGCCCATGCCAAGCTGAATAAGAAAATTAAAAAATATACAGGGGGTTCTATTTAAAAAAACATAAGTATAGTTAATATCTCAAAAAATATTTTTTTCGAAAAAAGTTTGACTACGCCACTGCATTCTACACAGAAAAGTGCCTTTAGAACGTATAATTCATTTTTCCGTGGTAGCTGAAATAAACAAACTATCGAACATCTTCAAAAAGTACAAAATTTGAGAATCCCCCTGTAGCTTTGAAACCGATCAAGATAGCCACGCTCCGTTTGCGCCATTGCATTTTTTTCAAAAAAAAAGAATCCGAGACTGCAGTATCAAAATTTGAATATTTCTCACGGTTTCCTAGATACTCTATAGAAACAACCAAAATGGTCCACCCTGTACATACCGGGTGCGTCTCAAAAGTGGCTCACCCCCTATAACTTTTTTATTTTTTCAGATAAAACAACGGGATTTGGTATGTTAGTATATGACATAAATTGGGATTGATTGACGTATTCAATAATTGTTTTCGGTCACTTCCGGTTTCACCGAGAATGACTACAACTTTTGATTTTTAAATGGCACCCTTGGTATTTTTTTACTTTATTCGATAGAAAATGACATTCCGAATCGAATGACATATCATATGTCAATTTTTGACATAGTCACTCAAAAACAAATTCTATTTTAAATTTCAATTTAGAGTGCCATAGCTGTGTTAAAAACACTAATCTTTAATCAAGGAACCTTGGAAAAATAGATTTTATCGTTTAATGTTTTTAGTGTCTTGTCCTGGCCGGTTAAAAGATGCCCAAATCATATTTTTAATCATATCTCATTGGCATATTTGGAAAAAGCATTTTTTACGAATAATTTGATACCACACACTTGGTATTTTGAGTGAAATTGTCGTTATGAACCGCATGTTACAATTTCAAATAAACCATATGCCAAAATGTTAAAAGTTGATATATGATATGTCATTGGATTCAGAGTGTTATTTTCTATCGAAGAAAGTAAAAAAATACCGAGGGTGCCATTTAAAAATCAAAAGTTGTAGTCATTTCCGGTGACCGAAAACAATTGAATACGTCAATCAATCCCAATTTATGTCATATACCAAATTTTTTTTATATATGTCACATACCAAATATCGTTGTTTTATCTGAGAAAATAAAAAAGTTATAGGGGTGAGCCACTTTTGAGACGCACCCGGTATATTGAAAAACTAATCAGTTTATATTTCACTGTTTTTAATAAAGATTTCTACAAAAAAATACAATCGCATTTTGTATTAAACTAATTTCAAATAATTTGTTTTAGAGGTACTCTTGGTGCTTGTTTTTCTACAACACTGGGTTCCGTTTTACACGAACTTTATCATACATTTAATTTGGGCCACACTCAAAACGGCATTATGGGACGAGGTTTCGACAATGTCCAAAATTTCTTCCTTGCGAAATCTCATCTGCCTGGAAATGAAGAAATAACATCAAAAAGCTTTCAAGATCACATTGAATTTAAAGAAGAATTTGAAGCTAGTAAGTTATCTGAGAGATTACTTAACGAAAATAAAAAGAAAGAATACTCCATTATTAAGAAATTCGAAGATGACCATTGCACTTTTTTAACCAAAAGCTGTGCTGTGATGTTGTGTTACCACAAGTAAAGTAATTTTTTATGGCATTCGCGGTTTTTTTAATCAAATTTATGTTTTAGATGGTTTAATTCCAGTTCATCAGTCACAACTTCATATACTTTGACTTATGACCGGTCTAATAAATTTATTAGATCAACTGCTGGCATTAGGGTTGTTGAAATAAGAACTGAAGAAGACGAAATGATAACTTATGATTGGACGTTTGAAGGCAAAGTGTTGAAATTTTCTTTCCAAATTCCAATTGAAGTGTTTCAAGACAAAAGAAATTATTTACTAGTTGTAGAAGACAATTTAGGAAACATTTTAAAAGCAACTGCTTAATCCGTGCCAAATTATTCTGATTTAGAATAGTATTAGAATTTTCAAAAAGTCAGAAAATGTTTGAGAAAATTGTAATCAACAGAGACGGGTTTGGTCCAGATGGATATGAACCCACCGACCTCTCTCCGGTACGGGTACTGATTTGATGTAGTATATGTTACAACAGATAACATAATAATAATAAAATTATATAAGGATTCTTGCCACTTAACTGCTTATATAGAAATTTAATTCTACGCTGTGTTTGTCATAATGTGGATCAACCTGCTCTCACTACCGGTTTCGGAGCCCTAACCCATCATTAGGTGAGCTTGGGCAGATCCACAAAATGACAACCACAGCGCAGAGATAGTTAATTCCGACTTGTCGGAAAGTGTCGGTTAGATATTAATTCCCGAAGGGGAGATAGCGGCCTGCGTGCAATGGTAGTACTTTCGTACCACCGGGGCGCAACTATCGATAGTAAAAGGATGGTAAAAGGCTTTTTTTCAGGCAAGCCAAATTACAAAATAGAAAACAAATTTCTTGCAATATAGGTATATAATAAAATTATATAGGGATTCTTGCCACTTAACAGCTTATATAGAAATTTAATTCTACGCTGTGTTTGTCATAATGTGGATCAACCTGCTCTCACTACCGGTTTCGGAGCCCTACTCCATCACAGGTGAGCTTGGGCAGATCCACAAAATGACAACCACAGCGCAGAGATAGTTAATTCCGACTTGTCGGAAAGCGTCGGTTAGATATTAAGATTAGGATCTGCCCAAGCTCACCTGATGATGGAGTAGGGCTCCGAAACCGGTAGTGAGAGCAGCCACATTATGACAAACACAGCGAAGAATTAAATTTCTATATAAGCAGTTATGTTGCAAGAATCCTTATATAATTTTATTATATACCTATACTGCAAGAAATTTGTTTTCTATTTCATAATAATAATGTCTAAATCTATGTGTATATTCTATTGAATATCGGCCTCTATTCGCGGAACTGCATTGCTGACAGGCCACCTGCCACGTTGTCGGTAGATAACGAAAACATAATGATGTAACGAAATAAATCAGTATTAGAGAGTATTGGAATAAAGAGGGACTTGTAACTGCTGCTGAGTTGTATACCGGGTGGTGCATCGTCGTCGGAAACATAGGAAATCCCATGCAAATTTTGAACTGCTAAAATATTAGCTCCCCTATTGATTTTACAGCAAAGGTCTGCATATGGCTGAATACACATGCCAAATTTGAACAATTTTGGACCAGCCAGTTTTGAGTAATTTAAGAAAGATTGTATCTATTTTTATATTAAAACTAAACAGGTAACAATCAAACATCGCAGTCAAAAACCGACATACCTTAGGTTTACAAACTAACATTTTGTCATTGTTAAAAGTAATTTAATTTAAATAAAATTTTAATATTCAGAAGAAATTAACCGAAACATGTCAGATACATTGTCTAAACTATTTCTTCCGTAGTACTATTTTATCACGCTCATTTTTTCTTTATCTGTATAACAATTAACAATAAATTATTACTATACAGAGTGAGTCTTAAATAAGTACAAATATTTTTAGGGGTGGTATATTTTGACCCCAGGAACACGTCTATGAGTTTTTTTCGCAAAAAAAAGATGTTGAAAATCGTGCATTTTCTTTTAAATTTTCCTGTATAAAGCTTTTTAGAAGTGTCCGTTCACCGCAAATTTTCCCACGATATAATTTATTAACCTCTGATATTACCATAGTTACGGCTTTACTCCATGGTTATACAGTTTTTCTCAAATTACTCAAAATCGGCTTGTCCAATATTGTTCAAATTTGGCATGTGTGTTTACCAAACGTAGACCTTTAAAAAATATATTTATGACTTCGATATAAAATCAGTAGGAGAGCCAATATTTAAACAGTTCAAAATTTGGCATGGGATTTCCTGTTTCCAGCGACGATGCACCACCCGGTATACTGTTTCTTTTAAGTTTAGTTTCACAGAACCGTATTCGAAATTATTTTGTATTATTTGAAATTGGTCTAGTTGTTAATTTATTGCACAAATAAAATCAGCAGACGAGGACTACGTTCAAATTTAGTTTTAGTTTTTTTTTTCTAAAAAAGATGGCCATTTTATTTCTCAAAAATATTATCTGTTAAATGCCGATCATTTTGTTTCTAGCATGAAGCAATCAATTGCAGTTTTGATGAAAGGCTGTTATCGTGTCTTCACTGTCTTTTATTAGTAAGTCAAGTGCTTAATGTTTTGCCTCATATTCATAAATTTGAACCTTAAGGTATCTTTACCAAATAAGTAGAACAGCTAAGATCAGGTGATAAGGATTATTTGGCAAAACCCAAACACCAGAATGCTCCAACGAACTACAAAACTTTTAAATGCGGGTTGCTTCATGCAAAAACAACATTTATTTAAATTAAAATGAAAGCTCAGAATGATATAGATCTGGCAGAACTGGAACCTGGATGTATGTCCTTGAAGTTTGATGTAACTCCGGATCAGACTCTTTTAAAATACCGGACCTACCCATCTCTAGTACTTAATAAATAAAAAAAAGTATGAATTATATTATAAAAATAAGCATTTATTTTTAAGTTTAATCCATGTTCTATAGATATTCGATCTATAAATAAATAAATATCTTTAACAAATAAATATAGAATATTTTATTGTTCAGTTTTCTTATTTTCATTTTTAGCACTAGTTCTTTTTGAAGGAATCTCGTTATTTAATTTCATAATCTTATAGAAAATTGCTTGTTGAGATGCTGTATATTTCAAAGCGACATAACCAAACAGTATCTGGAATAGGAGTAATATCATCATTACGGTTTGACATATTATCTCCAATACGTCTAGTTGGAAATATGGAGTAAATAGTAGGATTCCTTGAAGTGGAAGTTGAAGAAACAGAGACAACATCCAAAAGCAGGCTAATTCTGGAATCTAGAAAAAAAATTATTATTATAAATATATAGATTCAACTTAACTAAACATGTGAGTCAATCGAGTGTCAAATAATACCAAATTACAAATTAATTAGGCGCACAAAAATAACTTTAGGAACCACTCAGTGGTCAATCAATCTATTTTTACCTTATCATTTAAGTTTCCTTCGTACACCATGTATAATCTTAAAACTTCGACAAATATTATAGTACTAATTATTGTAATAAACAGAAATTGTTTCAGTTGGTCAAAGTTGTGGAACTAAAAATATCGAATAATTAATATTCATGTAATTAAAGTAGTATAATAAGATCAACTCACATTATCCACAACCGAAATTAGAAGAATGTTTATCCAAACTGGAACGAACACGACGTTGAAATATGTAGAAACTTGTAGTGGTAAATTGGATTTTATCTCTAAACCTAGAATCAGTTTTATCGTTTTAAAGTGAGGTAATTCTGAATATTAGAAAAAAGCTTCAAAAATTGTGCAACATGTAATCGTTCACAGATTCCAGCATTTATATTTTTGTTAAAACTAAAAAAAAATTGGACTTCCATTGTCTTTATTTATTTTGCTTACACAACGTTTCGGTTAGAAGCATCGCAGACTGTTATCAAGTGTAAACTAACGATAATGGTCGTAATTCTTCTGACCGAAACGTTGTGTATGCAAAATAAATAAAGATAATGGAAGTCCGAAATTTTTTTAATTTTAATACATATTCATTATTGTATAGCATTGTAAAAGCAACTTTTTTCCAAAGCCTACTATGACTTCACTGAATCATCGTTTCTTGTTCACTGTTATTAATATCTTAATTATTAGATATTAATACCTCATCTGGTATTATGGTATTCTGGCATTTCGTCAATTTTAAAATAAACTAACTGTTTCTATCTTATTTTTTGTTAGAATGGGCATAATTAAGAGGGCTACTGATACCGTATTGTAAAAATAAGCTAATTAAGGGCTTATTTTTTGGTATTTATTATAATTATGCTAATATCTTCGGTTTGAAAGAAGATATCAAGATGCGGTTTCGCTGACTTATTAAGCTTTTACTACTCTATACTATCAGCTAAAATTACATATACGCTCGTATTTAATTTTTTTGAAAAAGCGCGCTATGTTTGTTAAATTGTAAGAAAGCGCCCCCTAGCGTTTACGTTCAAAACCTTATTATTATTATTTTTCTGGTATAAATAAAGAGTAAGAAACGCTCTTTTAAACGAGCCCTCGTTTGTTGGATTCTGATCATCCAGTGCGGAGTTATTAACATTTATATAAAGATAGATCTAACCTTCCCCCACCACTTTATTTTAGTAGATAGGGGAAAATGGTTCTAACAAAGAAAATCCAAAATTTACTGAAGATTATGAAGCTATTATTTATAGTATCCATTCTCTAGCCTAAAAATTTTGTAAAAATTCTATTTTCTTATTTTCCATAGCAGTTGCGCCCCCTAGCGGCCGTTTTACAAACTTGAAAATAATTTCCAGCAATATCTCATAGCCCCTTTAGTTATAAATACTTTCCGAGATACAGCCGAGAGTTATTCTTAGTAGGACACCCGGTATATACCGGGTGCGTCTCAAAAGTGGCTCAACCCTATAACTTTTCATTTTTTCAGATAAAAAACGAGATTTCGTATATTAGTATAAGACATAAATGAAGTTTTATTGACGTATTCAATTATTTTTGGTCACTTTCTGTTTCACCGGAAATTACTACAACTTTTGATTTTTAAAAAACACCCTCGGTATATTTCTACTTTATTCGATAGAAAATGACACTCTGAATAGAATGACATATCATATATGTCATATCTATAAATGTATATTCATAAAATATACATTTTATGAGTGTTTTGTGATATTTCTGACAGATAAATAGTTTTCTAGGAACTCTTAATACAATCTCCATAGAGGGACACCCATAGAGGAACTGATATACCGTATGATCGAAAAAAAACGCCGTCCAGTTGGCTTGGAAATGACGATCGATGACAGTTCCCATATAATTTTACATATAAAATGACAGCGATCTTCATTTCATAACTATCGCTGACGCCGTTTTTATTCGATCATACGGTATTTGGTTATTGAGTTTTTGATGTCAACGGTATAAATAATTAGTTTATTTTATTACCTTCCGTTTGACGTTCTACTTTGTAAGCGATTCCTGGGAAAACGTTTTCTGACAATGCTGTAACAGTTTCTTTCCATTCCATAATTAATATTTCTATTTAATTTAATCTGTCATCTACTTCTAAAACTAAGTCCACTAAAATACACTAAATTAAAACCTACCCCTACATCAAATATTTCAGGATTTTTTAATTTGTTTGTATTGGCGCGAAATCGCTGCCATAGCAACTGTGTAGCATACATCAGTTAGTTGCTTTCAACAAAGCTTTCAACTATAAACAAAATATACTATACAATTTAATGGATATGTTTATTAACATAAAAAATAGCAAGAAATTTATTGTTAATTTGTAATAAGTATCTACATAGAATAGTACTTAACGTATATGAGGTAATAAATATTTATGAAATAAAATTATCAGTAAATGTTTAATCTATAGCAAGTTATTGCTATCTGATAAAATTCTTATCAATAAATTACTTTTTGCAAAAATTACAACATGTTCTGTTAGTATTTTGGAAGTAATATTTTTGACATATATTTTGCTGAAAATATACGCTGTGTGCAGGCAATATAAAAGTGTTTTTTATGTAAAATTTATTCTATAAATGGCTGCTTCTGGAGATTTGAATTCTATTTACAGGTGAGTATCAATCTCAGTTTAATTAATATACAAAACTTTATAAAATATAAAGGATATCACAGTGTTGTGTAAAATAGAGAAAACCTCCAATTTGAAGGTTTTAAAAAATATGTTCATATACAGTATGTCCCTCGATGTCTTTACAAGAAGAACATTTTATTATTAAAGAGAAATGCATGAGAAAACCGCATTTTTACAAAAATGCTTGTTCTTGTTCTTGGGTGAAAGTTTGATCCACCCTGTGGAATATGTTAACAAAGCAAGGAATTTAAAAATCATTTGGTTATCTAGATTCTTCTTTTCCCGACAGTTTGATTTCTGGTTCATCTCAATAGCTTTATTTTTGTTGGACATATTCGCTTTTGAAGAAGACACTAACATTTTGTTCTATTTTTTATTCTGATGATAAAATGTTAGAGTTACCGATTAACTGAAGGAAAAAACAAAAACGTACAATAAGAAAATTATTACTAATACCGGGTATTACCTTCCCCCCCTAGTATTAGTTGTCAATGACAGTGCCATAACATAAATCATAAACACTATTTCATAGGTCTGTTGACTATGACCAAAAGCAAACCCAGTGAGCAAAGTTTTGTCACATTTAGGGAACAGTTACGTATCTGCGTTATATTGTTTCTTATCAGGCACGAAAAGGCCTGGTAACGTAACAACAACGTCACCTAAAACACATTTCTCTGAAAGGAATAAAATGCTCACTGGGAAGGCAAGGTTTTAATGTAAAAATTACAAAAAAATGTTAGTATCTCCTTCAAAAGCGAATATCCAACAAAAATAGAGCTTTTGAGATGAACCAAAAAATGAACTTTCGAGAAAAGGTGCATATAGATGATAAAATTCTTTTTAAATTCCTTGGTCTCTTAACATCTTCCACAGGGTGTTGTCAACTTTCACCAAAATATCAACAGTTTGTTATACCTCGTATAATTTACAGATGGAATCTATAATTTTTAATTTAGAAAGGGGTACTAAAAAGTCAAATAACTTCGGTACAAATTGCTTAAAAAATCATCAAAATCAGTCCACTAGAACACAATATACATATATAACTTTAAAATACATCAAAATTTTAAGGGGCCCGTTTTTCGTACCTGTGAGGGTATTTACAGTAGAGTTATATTTTTTTATTGGGGCAGCTGTAATATTTCGCCTAGTGTATTTGTCATAAAATAATAGTATAAAAAATAAGCATTTTCTATACTACACTTTTTGGGCTGTATTTTTTTAATGGAAATATTTTCTGTTGTTTTTCTAAAATTAAGTAACGAATCGTTATATTGTTATAATTAAGATTAAGGAATCAATAAAGATGCATCAATGCTGTGTTGATTTTTAATATAAAATACATAATTTTTCTGAATACTGTGTCATCCTGTATGAATACGTATATTTGTAATACAAAATTAGTTTTATTAAATTTTCAGTGTCTGCCAGGAACTTGTACACTTATCCAAAAGTGAGACTATTGTGGATGATATAAAACACTTTATATCTTTATGGGATTACAGGGAGGTTAATAGTTTAAGTCAGTTCAAAGAAGATTTAATACAAGTGGTAGATGAAATAGAAAATTTCGTGTTACCCGAGAATAACAATCCGCATATAAAGAAATTAATTTATTGGTAAGTTGGCTGTGCGTCTAAATTTTAATATCTACATATTTAAAAAATATATCTTTTTAGTTTTGTGCTATCAGAAATTTATGATTTTATCATATCGTTAATCAGATCTCGGTTCTCAAACGACGATATGAAGATGTATATGCTCTCAAAAAGATTTTGTTTGGAGAATGGCAATCCAAAACAACTGGGAAGCACATTTTATAATTTTGTACCAAATGCTGCTGTATGTATTTAGTTAATTTACTTATTAAAAATCACTTAAAAGTAATTGCAGATAGTGGAATTATCGATGTTGAATACAAAAAGGACAGCTGCGGAGAAGTTATGCTGTTTGTGTTCAGCATATGAGTACATTTTTGCTGAGGTCAAAAGTGCATTGATCTCTATTATATCAAAATATTCAGGTAAAAATTGTATACTCTAATTATCTTGAAGAATGAAAATATTTTATTTGCAGAAAAAGAAAATAATATTCCTATAATAAATAATAAAGAAGTTGTTCCAATTGTTATGGCTGTAATACTCAAATCCAAATTGTTTTATCTCATTAGTGATATGTATTTTATCAGATATTTTGGATCTGACATTTTAGAAGAAAATAAAGATATGAAGTAAGTAAAGGCTTATGTCTAAAGCAAGTGTTGCAAAATTCTAGTACTTCTATATCAGTGAAAACCATGTGAATATATTACTCTAACCCAAGAACGGTGACTCTAACCTACTAACCAACTTTAGTTCCCAAGTAGCACAATAAATTATTATGAGAGTGAAGTGTTTTATACACGATTTATTAAAGCGATCTCATACACTGAATTTTTATTTAATAAACGCAAAGAACACAAATTTATCATAGAGACAAATGTGTTCTATTATTTTGTTATATAGATGTTTTGGCGACTAATTTATAAAATATTTTTAGAAATATATTCGTTAATATGCTCAGGAACGTTTATATAACAAATCTTATACAACTATTTATGCTTGGGCCTAGATATATTTTATAATTGATTTATAATATAATTTAAAACAATTATAAAATATTTACAAAACAGCTATAAAAATATGCATTTGAGTTTATTAAAACATTATCGACATGTTTTATAGCTGTTTACGACTGATTTATATAACAATTTGATCTTCGCAATCATTTAGTCGCGACCGCTACTCTAAGAAAACAATTTTATAATTGCTGTTAAAGAAACGAATTAAAATTCTTATAAAGCGATTAAAAAGTGTTTCCCCAAATACAAAAATGTTATTTAGGAAACCTTATAATAATAACCTTTGGTTTTGATCAGAGTTTAAAATATATTTTAAAATTGTGATTTTATCTCTAAAACTTAAAATGTCAAGTATTTCTAACTGGAAGAAGCTAAAAAGAAGTGGACATTTTACAAAGAAAGTTAAAGATTACTACCAAACGATTTTAAATTCTTGTGGAAACGTTGACACCAGAGAGAAATTAAAAAAACTGTTTTAACACCAGAAGAAAGTGATGCTAGTAAAAATTTTAATTTTTTAAAATGTTTTCCTATGTTATAAGTATTGATGAACCTAGTAGCGAATTTAAAAACACACGTTTATAATTTTATTGTTGTAAATGTGACAGCACCGGAATCTATAGGCGAATTTCATTGTATTTTGCCAACATTATTTCAAATAATAAAACAAATATGTTCCGTATAGCATCATTGTAAAACAAATTAATTGTATAACTGCTCCCTGAGCAACAAAAATGTTTTGTTAGTCGACGCCATGATTTTATGTTGAATTTGAACGACTGTATGTCGGCCATTTTATCGAGTCGGGATTTGCAAATCAAAATAATCGAAATTTAATTCAAAATAAACCTATTTATGAGAAACGAATTAGTTTCCAATAATATCGGATATTAGACAATGTCGATTTTCCCGTTTATAGGTAATTTTGCAGTAATTGCCTAAAAATTAAATATTTATAATATCAGTAAAATTTGCTCCGCAGGAAAATTTGACTCCTGGAGCTTTTTATGCGATATACTTTTTATACAATTTACATCTTTTTTAAATTAGCCATATCTGTCATTTAAATCGGATATATGTGTACTTTGCCATTTTAAAATCAGTTTTATTTTGGTCACTATAAATACACGATATTATAATTTTATTCTTGATAACTAAAAAACAAAAGTGCAGATGCATGCTACAAAAATATTTTAACTGAGACAAATATGTTATTTTTAAAATATTTATAAATCTGCTATAAATAGTTTTATTAGTGTTTTATTAATATCTAGTAATTGTTGGAAGCAAAATTTGTAGATAAACTACCGCTTAATTTATAAAGCGCTTAAAAAACATTTATAAAACAGATTTATAAACATTTTAGAAAATACGTAATACTGTTTTAAAAGAGTTGTTTGCGACTCTTATAAAACTTAAAGAAAATAATTTTATTTTATAAACCTGGGCCTTTTCCGTGTTTATAAGGATCATATAAGGGTTTACAACACTCTTATGTAACTGTTATAAACATATTTGTGCTACTTGGGTTGTAATACCTATTATTAGCCGACCATACCATACCAACAGGTATGATTTTGTCAGGCTATTAAGATTGACAAAAAAAGTTTTTTTAATTTCACTAAAAGGAGTTATTTGCAACATAGGTAACATAGGTAGTGCATTCCATAATTTAAGGAAAAATTCATATTTCTTTGGAAATTATCAAAGTAAAATAACTCGTTTATTTTGGACTTATTTGAAAAATGGTAAAGAGAGAATATGTTATTATTTGCGCTTAGTTAAGACTTACCCTGTATAAATATTATTTATAATTTCGTTTTATTTCAAAATAATTGAAACTAAAAAACTGTTTTAATATTATGTATATCTATCCCACGTTTCAGTACTTTTGTTTATAGATATTTTTTTTTTCAGAAATATATACCAGATTTTTGAAGACTCTATCCATAAACTTTTTCCCTTATTTAGAGAACCAATTCCCGCAATTAGGGACACAGAAAAATTAGAAAATCATCTTGGTGTATGCGAGACAATTAACTTTATAGAAAAAATTAATAGTGAAGTGGAGACTAAACAAACGATTTTCCAAGAGGAAACCAGAAGAGTAGCCAAATTGATCATATCAGCTACTACTGAAGATTTGTGTGATAACTAAGATGTAATAAATAATGATGAAACTATTTTTGTGGGACGAATGAATGTATATTTTTATCAAGGGCTATCGTGAAGTTATTTTTTAATATCACTATATGTTTTAGAAGATAACTACAGTGTTAATTGGAACATTTTCTAACCAAATTCTTTGTTTTCTATAATATTATGAAATTCTGTTCAACTCTATACAGGGTGCTACAAATTCGAGGTACGAGCATTGGTATCTCGGAAACCGTAAGAGATACGAAGATGGTTAAATTGGGGCAAAGTTGCGCTTTAGGAAGTTCACCAAGATGCCATCAAAAAAGTTTTAAAAATATCAAGGACTGCTGAATTTTTTGGAAAAAGGTGATTTTTTTGAATTTATTTTATTTTTTCCTGTCGTTACTTTTTAGAAAATCAAAAAACTAATTGCACATTCTCATAGTCACTTTATTAGGGCTATCTGATAGTATTTTTAGATTTTCAAATTAGCTGATAAGTTGTGAGATAGAGAGGCCAACTTATTTTTTTTTAAATACGGACATGCATTTTTTATTTCAGATTTTGAAAGAACTCAGTCTCCTGAGTACAATGATATGCCACACTTAATATTTTTTTTGTTTCGGACATTTGAACACAATTTAATTAAACTAATTTGAAGTCCGGCTCTGTTTTTTTTTAAATATTTAATTAAATTCATCGTTACAATATTGGTAAGCTTTCAAACTTAACAATGACGTGGGGTAAAACATTGAATACCGAAAATCAAATGCAATCAAATAATAAAAATAATATAAAATTATTGGGCATTGCTTGACGTCATTTTTAAAAGTGAAATACAACAAGTGACAATACATTTCAACATTTACAATAAAGAGTACAGAATGCATTCGGAAGTATAAGAAGAAGATATGTTCAAAGAGCTATAAATAAAATTGAACGAAAAATACATTTGTGCATTAGGGACGGTGGTAACCCTTTCGAACATGTAGAGCATTTATTTACTAGTTTTAGAAACTAGTTTGCAGAAGTTGATTTATGATTAATATTATGCATATTATTAGATCGTACACTGAGATTTGAAATTCACAATAAAAAAATAAAAATAATATTTTTAAATTGCTGACCTGGGTATTATTTATTTGAATCTTCAATGTTAATTAGCGCTGATCCATATTGTTGCGATGAATATAATCAGATTAAATAATTTAAAAAAACAGAGTCGGACTTGAAATTATTTTAAATAATAATTAAATAGTTTTGTTATTGTTAAGGTACCTAAAACAAAAAAAAGTATCGAGTGTGGCATATCATTGTACTCAGGAGACCGAGTTCTTTCAAAACGTCAAATAAAAAATGCAGGTCCGTATTTAAAAAAATTAAGTTGGCCTCTGTATCTCACAAATTATCAGCTAATTTGAAAATCTAAAAATACTATCAGATAGCCCTAATAAAGTAGCCATGAGAACGCGCAATTAGTTTTTTGATTTTCTAAAAACTAACGCCAAGAAAAAATAAAATCGATTTTCAAAAAAATTCGTTTCTTCCAAAAAACTCAGCAATCCTTGAAATTTGTAAAACTTTTTTGATGGCATCTTGGTGAACATTCTAAAGCGTAACTTTGCCCCAATTTAACCATCTTCGTATCTCTTACGGTTTCCGAGATACCAATACTCGTACCTCGAATTTGTAGCACCCTGTATATATTTTAACCCTAAAATAAAAAGAGGAACGATTTTTTTAATCATATAATTTCTTTGTCATATTTTAACACCGGATATATAAAAAGTGTAACCGGCTTGTTAAAAAACGCTAATTGGGAAGCTATTGTATTCAACAATACTTAATGGTATATAAAATCCAATACTACATAATATTACTCGACATAAATTTTCAATTCATCGAAGATGATTCGTATAGGTTTTACTTCAGTTTTTCTGTTTGTTGTGAGTAGCTTTTGTAGTAAATATTATTATATAAATATAGAAGATATTTTTTCAGATACATGTTGCATTTGTTCAAGCACAAGGTGAGTGATCATCATCATTATTCTCAGCTTATTAAACCATTTCCAATTATGGTATAGCCTCTCTTACATATACATACCGCTATTACTCGCTGACGAGTATTTGACACGCATCAGAAGATGGTCACGCAAGGCGTTTTCTGTGACTGAGCTTTTCTGAATGAGCTTTTCTGTGACTGAAAAGCCCGATACGTGATGTTATCTGTCTACCGCACTCTAGACATTCAAAAATCTCATTGCTTTGTTGCCTCTCTACTTTTTGGTTGTCGCTCTTAACTGACTTTACAATTCTTCTCCATTCCGTTCTATTGTGAGCAGCCTCTTCCCACTCATTCTGCTTGTTAATTCCCTTTAAGTTTTCGTGGAAAATATCCTTGAACCTTTTGAGTTCTCCACCCGGCCTCCTCTTACCGTCTACAAGCTCACCGTAAAGCAGATATTTTGGTATGCGGTTTTCTTGCATTCTGCATACGTGACCAGCCCATCCTAAGCGGGACTTTGTAATCATGACTTCAATACTCTCGCAGTTAGCTTTTTCAATGACCGATACGTTTGAAACGTGATGGAACCATTTTATTCTTAAGAGTTGTCTAAGATGTCTCTGTTGCAACTTGTTTAATGCGTTCATGTGTCGGCGGTACGGCACCCAGGTTTTTAATTTCCAGAATGCTCTTGACGCGCTGCTAATCCTATGCTGAATTTCAGAGTCGATATTGGCCTTTTCCGAAATCAAACTGCCGAGGTAATTGAATTCCGCTACATATTTCAACAGTTCATCTCCGATTTTTATCGCATTGTTGTGATCTTCCGGGGGAGTGCACATGATTTTAGTTTTATTGATGTTCAGCTTAAGTCCCAGGGCCTCGTATGCCCATGTATATGTGTTCAACATTTCTTGCAATTGCTGTAACGTATTTGCAACTAGAGCACAGTCATCAGCGTATTGAAGTTCTGTGATGAATTTTGTACGTGTTTTTGCCCTGAGTCTTTTTATGTTGAACAGACCGCCGTCGTATCTGTATCTAATGCCCAAACCTCTCTCCTGCAGTTTGCTGTCCACTATAATGGAGAGCGCTGCCATAAATATGTTGAATAGGAGAGGCGCTAAGACACATCCCTGCCTAACGCCTGTGTTTGTTAGGAAGGGATCGCTCAGTGATCCAACTGAAGGACAACCTTTGATTTCTCTCGGTCGTAAGTTCTGAGGAACTTTTTCGAGTGTCTTGACCGTTGGAGGACGCCCATTACAAGTTACGGATCGAGTCTTCCAGATTCTTCAGTTCCGCTTTCAGTTGGTTCCCGTTTGGAAAACAGAACGGTTCTTGTCCAGTTAGGTAGTAGCTAGGTCATTGTTTTTTTCATTGCATTCTATCCTTTGATGAGCAGGCACCCAGAGTAGGAGGACTTTATTTTCTTTGCCTAATTTGTTGAGCTTCTCTAGGCATTCTTTCATCAACTTCGAATTGATGGTTACTGAGTTGATCGCGTTTAGTGCTGATTGACATGGATAGGATGGCAATTTCCTGTTTTCGATAGTTCCTATCTAAGATAAATTGTACGCATCTTTCGATAGCGTAAATTTCTGAAGTCTCTAAGACCTGAAGGATACTGGGGTAGGTGTCCATTGGTTCGGAGTATTTAGTTTTCGACCCAAATACTCCTATTCCTGACCCTGCTTTGGTTTTGGAAGTATCAGTATATACCACGTTATGGTATGATCTTTTACATGCTGAGTAAGCGTTTCTTTCTTCTAATCCTTTTTATTACTGAATACTACAGTGAGGTGTTTGGTTTGGTTTGGTTTGGTTTGGTTGGTTGGTCAAAGTTGTAAATTCTTGGTATGTCATCCACTGGAAGTTGGAGAAGTGTAATTTTCTTTTTGAGGGTGTTCCAAGCCGCTGACTTGAAAATTCTCCCAGTACTGTTTCCGTCAATGACCATTTTAATCATTGTCACATTGGCATAACTACCGACGACAATATGCTGTGGTGTTAGGTCTAGAATGACTTCGATTGCTGTTGTTGGACATGTTCTCATGTCTTAGTTATTAGTGATAATAGTTTTAATTTAATAGCCTTGAATATAGTGTTGTGGCATTACATATTATAGGTAAATTCTAATTATTCTAAATTTGCATTGAAAAGTAAAGTATTTGTATTTCTTTAATTACTTTTATAATGAAGAATATTCTCACTTTTTTTCCCTGAAAGTTAATAAAAAAATTTAAACTTTCAGTTGGTTTAAAAGAAAATACAGAGTTTTCCCATATTCCGTGGACATAGAACGTATACCTTTAGACGATCAAATCTATTTTTCCAAGGCTCCTTGATTAAAAATTCGTGTTTTTAAAATAGCCATGGCACTCTACATTGAAATTTAAAATTCAATTTTGTTTTAAACAAAAATGTCAAAAGTTGACATATGATATGTCATTCTATTCAGAATGCCATTTTCTATCGAACGAAGTAAAAAAATACTGGGGGTACCATTTAAAAATCAAAAGTTGTAGTCATTTCCGGCGAAACAGGAAGTGAGAGAAAACAAATGAATATGTCAATCAATCCTAATTTATGTCATATACTAAGATACCAAATATTTTTTTTTATCTGAAAAAATAAAAAAATTATAGGGGTGAGTCACTTTTGAGACGCACCCGGTATATAGGTATTTTTGGAATCAATATAAGTTGACACCCAAAATCTTGTTCAAATCGGAATCGGAATAAGGATTCTTCAAATATCTGAAGAAATATGATTTTTTTAAAGTTTTATGCCCTCTAACGGACAAACTTTTGTATAAAGGTAAATTGTAAATTGTGTCCAATTAATGACTAGACTGATTTTGATTCCAAAAATACGTAATAGTTCTATTTCCACGGAATATAGGGACACGCTGTATAATTAAATTAAATTATTTTATTTTTAAGATTAAATAAATCTAAATAATATAAATAATTATTTTATATTTTTAGGTGGTTTTAATACTACATGTATTCAGAATTTTGCTAATGCTTTAGCACAAGCGACAAATCAGTTTGGACAACAGTTATCGCAAGGAATACAGTCGTTTGCAAATGCAGCACAAGATTTTGTGAATGGAGGATAAATTATAATTAGGACAAATCATAATACATATAATAAATTATTATAGAGCAGTTTTTTATTTCTTCTTGTTAAATTAGTAAATAACACTCTAATATATAAACTATGCCACGCCCTTTCTAATTCGAAGTTCAATAAAACACAAGTTTACTTAATGCAGAATGAGTTACATAGAGGCCACTAGCTTTTTAATTTTAACAGCGGGGTGGTCGGGGTTCAAAGATATTAATAAAAGGGCGCCACGAGATTATACTCTATGAACTCGGCAATAAAGATGTAACTATTAAGTAGACTTCAACACTAACCTCGAACTGTTGAGTGCAACTACCATGAACTTCAAATATGCTATAACTCGTTAAACTTAAGTGACTCTAACTTAACTATGAGACTAGACTGTAAATAATACTACTAAAAATATTTAAGTATTTTATTAAAATATTAAAAAGTTAAATATATATAAAAAAACGATGAAATGTAAAATGTAATATGTTAAGAAATTATTTAAATCGAAAGGTTGGAAAAGAAAATGGAATTTTAAATTAAATGCAATAACTAAACCTATGACGTCAAACCCCCTTATCTAACTTAATACTAGATACAAACAGGGTGGTTTACACAAATGAAATCTATATTGTACTAATCTAAACTGTCTTACTCTACTCGATATGATATACTTGAAAACTTCCTCCGGCTGAGCTACGGCGTATAGCTACAGGGTTGCTAAGGCGGTGTACAGCAGCTCGGTGTACTGCCACTGGAGCCCACGGATGTCAGCAGAGGTACAGGTGAAAGGTAGGTGTTGATATTTCAAATGGTGAACATAAAAACCCTAAATAATATTGGTTGTCTTAGAAAAGAGCCTCAATTATAGAATAAGGACTAGCACAACGTGTAGGAGTTAATGAAGGTAATAAAAAAGGACTAATTTCATCTGAACTTTACCTCAACGAGGGTTTATGATGTCCAACGGGTAACTCTACACACGGGCAACAGGAACGGATGGAATTCTGGACTGTTCTGTGCTACGGTCTGGATCGGTCTTCTTGCTCTACAATTATGAACAACCAAACAAGATTTAAGAAAGATAACACTCAACTAATCTTTCTACACCACGTGGGCGTGGAAAAGTCGAAAACCAGTCAACAATACGAATAAAAATCAGTTGAGCATTGACTTAGACTAGGCAGAAGAATTATAGCATACCTTGGAACTGTTCGGGGACTTCTTGGGCACGTGGAATCGGGATATCGGTCGGAAAAAGGCTATTTTAATCCCATTATGGAAACTGGTCGGTGGTCCATGTAAATCCCACAAAATACAACCACGTCTCTGACCAAATGTGTTCCGGAAGACTTAATCCTTCACTAGGAAGACCTGCTAATCACAAACAGGGAATGCTTCACGGAACGGCAGCCAGTTCTTCACGACGACACTCTTCAGCCGGGGAGTACACAAGAAGTGATGCAAGGATTCGATTTCCTTCACAAAGTCAGATTTCAACCGGAAATCTCCCTCCAGGATATAGATAGAGAACTATGTATCTTGACTAGTCCAACTCACAAAAAGGCATAAATAAAAAATGATGTTTTCTCCTCAGCCATATTCCATATCCGGTCAATGAACGAACTATACTCAGAAATTCCACAATTAAAAGAACGAATTGCACACTGCGATTTTACATCGACCTTTTAGGAGTAATTAATAATATTAACACACAATTATTAATTATAAATTTCCTTAAAACATTCTTTTGTAAAAAAATGAGATAATTGAAAGATAAAATTTCTAATGTTTTAAAGAATTATTGCCAATGAAAAGATTTTCAAATATACAGGGCGAGTCTTAAATAAGTGCAAATATTTTTAGGGGTAGTATATGTCGACCCCAGAAACATTATTATGAGGGTTTTTTCGCGAAAAAAAAATTGAAAATTTGGAATTTTTTGAAAAAAAATTTGGAATTTTTTTTTGGTTTTGAGTTACGAACGAAGTTAGATATACTATTTTTTAGAGACCCTGTTTAAAAATTATAGAAACAGGAGATTCACAGGTAGACTTTATTGATTAAATAAATATCCCGGGGTATATTATTTCAATACTATAGCAACATAACTATAGGTACATTACCATAGTAACCGTAGCTTGATAGAAAGAATTTATTTTGTCACTTCAGATTTCAACTAAGAATAAAAATGAGACGAGGTGTAAAAGTAAATTATCCACAAAAGAAACCAAAACTCAAACTAGAAGATCTTGGTGATGTTAAGGAACCAGAACGGCATTCCATGTATCAAGTGCTTATGGATAATTTAAAAATAGCTAAAAGGGTAAAGCTTCAGTCAGAACCTCCCGGATAAATTAGTAGTTTCAATTAGTGTAGAAGTTGGTTCACCTAATTTTAATGTAAGCATTCAGAACGTTATAATTAGTGGTAGTAATTTTCAATTAGTCGAAAAAGTTAACAAACTTTTGACTTTTCCATTAATTATACTTCAAAATTTGCGAGGAATGTCATTTTGGCCTTTGATTATCTTCCATCAAGAAAAATTTTGGTTAGAAATCAAAAGTTGATTGTTTTATAAGCTAAATATTATGCTTTCTCTATGGATACAACAGACTACCGCAAGCTGTTGTTAGGATATTTTATTAATTTTAATTGTTTTTTTTCGACATTGTGAATGATCGTAAACTAAAAAGTATAAAGTGTAATTGAAACCACTAATTTATTCCACTTATTGGGAGGTTCTGAATGAAGCTTAAGTTAAGCAACAACTCTTCCTGTTGAGGTAAAAAATGAATTAATGAAAACTTATAGCAATCTTAAAATATGGGCTTCTGTGAACTATCCTGACACACGATTTTTCTTAGAAAATGAAGTTTTCTAAGAAAAATTTATTATTATTTTCTTTTTTCAAAATTTTAATTTTATAAATAAAATACAGTGTGTTGCATGCAAGAAACTATTTTATATAAGGACATTTAGGTATTTGAAATATCTATGAAACATTGGAAACCAACGTTATACCACGATCCACAGTGATTTTTGCATTTCACAGCGTTCACAGTTTACAACACAGTTTTTTAGTTTTTAATCCCACTTTTTCACAGTTATCACGGGTTTGAGGAAGTAAAATTTTAATTAAACTCACAAAATAGCAATAATCACTTTGAGAATGGACGCTTTAAACACTTTTCGGTATTTTTTCAATGAGGGCGGTTTAAATTTTGAAAGATTTTATAATTTTTGAAGATTCTGATTTTGACAAGAGAAAATTATTTTAGTTATTGTTTGCGGTTGTTCTTAGCAACAGCTATAGCAGCGCTAGATCGCTTACAATGGGGGCGACCCAAAAATATTATATATTTTGACGGGCTTTCCAATCTAAATTTATTTCCTCTATCTATGAATTGTATTTTTCCATTTAAAAAAAAATATTTTTGATGCAATTTGATTTTGAATTAAAATAACAGGCAGCAACTGACATTCCATAGTTTATTATAATAAAGAAACATATAGAGATCTTTGGTATTTTAGAACACTTACCTACATCGTATTATTTACATTGGAGAACATAAATTCCCCTGCTTCGATGATGCCTCAGCTGTATTTCAACAAATAATAAATAAATGCAACGAGACTTATTGTATCGAAAAATTAAGTGGATTTTTCTTGTACTATTCCCAGTATTTTGTGCATATGGTTGAGGTGAGTATGATTAGCTTTTATAGGTTTAAATTATACGAATATTAGTCTAAAACGCTAACTACACTATTATCTGACAAACGGATTTTGTTGTTTGACTGCTATCCACTATCCACTATCCGCGAAATAGGTCAATGTCAAGCTCAAATAGTGAAGAGTTACCTTACCGTTAGTAGAGTTACCTATTTCCTTACAAGGCGGTAGCCCCCCCCCCAACCGATTACCGATGCGCATAATTTTTTTCTAGTGGCTAGCGTGACCCCTAGTTTTATGCCCGTCTCTCGAAATTGTAGAAAAATTGACTAATATTAAAATATCTAGTGGTGGTGTTATTATATTGCATTTTATATCTTTAAATTGATTTGTGCCCCTATTACGTATTATAATTAATTATTAGTAACAAAAGTTTTCTTACAAATATTACTATATTTGAGAAATTATTAAACACAATATAAATATCTACATTATAATAATTTTATAATAAGCAATACCAGCTTTGCCGCTATTGCTGGACAAATGAAAATGGCGGTGCTGCCAAAGGATTTCCGAGAGGTTGCTCTGACCACCGACCAGGAAACGTCTCTAGAAGAGGCTATACTGGACGAAGTAGTGGCGATCGGATTGCGACACAACGATCTACAAAATGTGGGTCAGCTGCGTTTTGTGGGGATACACTTTCGGGTGGGCATGATCCTCATAGATTGTGTATCTCAGGAATAGGCGAATTGGTTGATGGAAATCGCACCTAAGCTTAAAAATTGGCAGGGGCCGGAACTGGTTGCAGTGAAGGGAGAAAACATCCTTAAAGGGGCGGCCATCACGGTCCTTCTGCCGAGGAGCAAGGAAAAAGACACCACCTACCTGCTGAGCCTTATCCAGTGTCAGGTCCTCACAAAAGGAATTGACCTCAAATAAAAGGAGGCAATAGAGAAAGAGGGACATATCCTCTATTATAGATACGGGACAACACCAGTACCAGGTCTAAGGAGAGACCAAGTTAAAGGGGTGGAGAAAATGGAGACAGATCCTCCAGCCTCCACCTCACGGGTTCCTCAGCCGGAGGCAAGCCCATCGACTGTGAAGGGCGGCACGGAGGGCCAAACTCCAGCCGTGGAAGGTTGTGTACCCTCGGAGGAAGAACTGTTGTCAGAGGAGGATGGGAAATACCCTGTCCCCTCTACAACAGGGCTATGGGTTATAGACCGTGTAATGAGTCAAGGAAGGGGGGCACTCAATACTCATTCTACATTCTTCTTCTTCTGCAATTTTATAAAGTTTACTGGAAAATATTATAGAAATTTCTAATATATTTTCATAAAACATCGCACACATCTGGATATTTTATGAATGAAATCGGCCATGTTTTTAAAAAAACTGCTTAAGGTGTGCTTCTAGGGTCCAAATATACTAACCCTAAAAAAATTGCACTTCACCCTGTATATCTATGTTGATACCATCATCCTTCCATCATCACACTTTTTTTAACTCCATCATGGATTCCATTCATGATCTCCATCATGGATTCCACTCCATTCGTCTTTTCATTCCATTCAGGGTATTTGAACACACATTAATACCTATAGCAGAAACTTCAGGACAAAACTTTTCAATTAATGTGCAGAAATATAGGAAACAAATTACTAACTACCACAATATACCTATACCATACCTTACAGCATTGCATAACGCCTAGACTTTAATGTTTTCATTTAGATTGTTCCTTGAAAGTTTTGCACTAGATTGTTCCTTTGAAATATTTTGTAATTATCACCAAATGTGGTTTAATAAATATTTCTAATACATATTATATATTTTAGGGCGACGAAGATAACTTGAACAAACATTTAAAATATTTGTTAGACGTCGCTGCAGAACACGCCCCGTATCTAGGAAATATGAAGCTTTTAATTCACATATCTCATATAAATCAGGTAGGTAATCAATACATATTCAATACTTACTTATTTCTTGTAGAGCATGTCCCATTTTCTTGTGGTGGCCAGCACGGATTCATAAGATTTGAACAAAGAGCCGTAAAAAAGAATCGTGAGAATTGAATCGGATCACAATGCGATCGTTCGTTCAAAGAGTCGTGAGAATTGATTCATTGCTTACAATACGGTTCGTTCAATTGAATCGTGGCCAGCATCGATCCATAAGATTTAAACGATGAGCTGTAAAAAAGAATCGTGAGAATTGAATCGAATCACAATGCTATCGTTCGTTTCTACGGTGCGGCACGACGCGGCTGTTATATAGGCATAAGTCAGACCAATATTTAGACTTGAACAAAAGCCCTAAACAAACATCATGGGCATAAAATGCAAACGATAAGAATGTTAACAACAAAAAAAACTTATTTAATTTTTACGTTAATATTTTTGTTAAAGTAATATTACCGACTATAAACCATTAAATGTCGGACTAAAAGACGAAATGGTGTTTTTATGCAACTCCAAATAAATATTGTTGGCCTCTGCTCAATATGATAAAAAAACGGCGTCAACGATTGTTATAAAATGAAAATCGCTGTCATTTTATATGTAAAATTATATGGGCAATGTCATCGACGTTCATTTCCAAACCAACTGGATGCCTTATTTTTCGATCACTATTTATTATACAATTATTAAATCGAAATTAAAATATGGCTCTAAAAATATTAAATTGGTATTAAAAAGTCTTTAATAAATAATATATAAATTGGATTGATAATTTAATATTATTTGTAGAATAATAAATCCAATTACGCTAGTGTCGTAAAGTGTTGAAAAACAAATGAGAGATCTGTATATTTCTTTTTCTGGTGCCTTAAGTAATTGTCCGGCCAAATTATCGCCGGTAGTGCCAGTTACGATTCTTCTTTTTATGAAACGTAAATTGTGCATGTGGTTCGTTCAAATGAACGATTCAATATGAGAAATTGAATCGTGTGATTCGATTCACTAAAAATAATCGTTATGCCCATCACTACTATGCAGGGTGTCCCACTGAGAATAGCTCTCGGCTGTATCTCGGAAAGTATTAGTCGCAGAGCTTGCGGAAAAAAATATTTATAACTACTGAGACCATAGACTTAAAATAAAATATAGACTACACTATTTACATCTCAACGCGGACAAACATTCTTTTTTGTACACATGTTTACTTCTGGGTACAGTCGACCGAGCCTTCCTCATCCAGCCTATGTTGTCACGTCTTTAATATTATCAATATTTTTTTTCTTGTTATACACATATATTGAGATATTAATACTACAGTTTAATAAAGTAGGTATTAATATTCCATAGATGTATTAAATAGTCATTATACTACTAAATTATAAGTCGGATACTGTTTAAAAAGGATAAGTTCTTTACAATATGACAACACCGATTAGAGGCGAGGGAGCCTATTCATTCATTTATTACCTTGTAGTACGTGTCGCACGTGTGCGGCAAAGCTTTGTTGCCGCTATCTCCCCGGCTGTATTAACGCATTTTCTTAGCTTGTAGTCCTTAAGTGTTTATTTTATTGACTTATTCTGTTCAAGAACTATAAAATATGGTTCGCCAGTGCCAAATTTGCAAGAAATTTGATTTAAATAATCCATTTAAGTCTTGAAACGACTTTTGACCGGTAGGCAACTCTCAATTTATCCATTAGGAGTCAGTGACGTTGTTGTAGAAAGGCGCTTATTTAGATAATATTTTAGTAAAATGTAAAATCTGAATTTTTTCTCTTACATTACATTATCATAATTAATCATAATTATAACTCTGTTAATAATTAATAATGTTTTTATTAAAAATATATTCCGGTTTATTCTAAAACTATCTTCAGAATCGAAAATAACATACAAGAATTTTAAAATGATATTACATTATAAAACAATATTTTTTAATATACTGGGTCGTTTCAAAAGGCTCACCCCTATAACTTTTTTATTTTTTCAGATAATAAAAACAGATTTGTATGTTAGTAAGTATATGACATAAATTAGGATTTATTGACGTATTCAATTGTTTTTGGTCTCTTCCTGTTTCACCGAAATGATTACATCTTTTGATTTTTAAAGGCACCCTCGGTATATTGCTACTTTATTCGATAAAAAATGACACTCTGAATAGAATGACATATCATATGTCAACTTTTGACATTGTCGCTTAAAAACAAATCCTATTTTAAATTTCAATCCAGGGTGCCATGGTGTTGTTAAAAACACTAATTTTTAATCAAGGAGCCTTGGAAAAATAGTTTTGATCGTCTAATGGGTTTCGTGTCTTGTCTAGGCCGGTTAAAAGATGTACAAATCATATTTTTAATCATATATATGTCAATTTTTTCAAATGGAACAAGGGTGACTCATTAGCATATTTGGAAAAAGCATTTTTTTATGAATATATTGATACCACACACTTGGTATTTCGAGTCAAATTGTCGTTATGAACCGCGTGTTACAATTACAATTAAACCATATGCGAAAATGTCAAAAGTTGACATATGATATGTCATTCTATTCAGAGTGTCATTTTCTATCGAATGAAGTAGAAATATACCGAGGGTGCCGTTTAAAAATTAAAAGTTACAGTCATTTCCGGTGAAACAGGAAGTGACCAAAAACAATTGAATGCTTCAATCAATCCTAATTTATGTCATATACTAACATACTAAATCTTGTTTTTTTATTTGAAAATATAAAAAAATTATGGGGATGAGCCAGTTTTGGGACGCACCCGGTATAATAAAGACAGTACCGAGTTAAATAAATGTAGTTTTTATTTTATCCACTTCCTATCACCTTCCTTGCTTTAATGAAACAGATTTATGTTTTCTCTAATTTACATAAGACATCACTTAACCAGAAAAAAAAATTACGACAATCATATTTTTTTTTCTCTCCCTGTCGCCGATTTTATTATATCTGTGGAATAGATCCTGTTTTGATTAATATTAGGGGTTGTAAATGTTTGACTAAAATTAATAATTTATTATTCATTTCAAAAATTACGTAATTTCGATTATAAAATTTCTTCTATAACGTGTATTTTATTATTTTTATCCTTTTTGGACTCTAAGACGTTTTTTCTAAACTTTTATTTAAAAAACCTGTCCTAAATCTTAATAAAATATAAAAAAGTTTAAATACGATATATTTTTAATTTAATTATAGCTTCATTAAAATAAAAAAAAATACCCGGCTATGATACGGAGAGTTCAGGTGTACTTGAGAAACGAAAGACAGTGTTGTGTTTCTCGGCAGAGTCGTCAGGGAACGACCGTTACGACAGAGACAACCTATCTATCGCTCGGGTCGCACTCGTTATAACCTAAAACAATAACAAGACAGTGTCTGACCGTATGTTCCAGCTATTTATGAATGAGATGCTCAGTCTATATTTTATTTTAAGTCTATGACTGAGACCATAAGAAATTGCTGGAAATTATTTTCAAGTTTTAGGACGGCCACTAGAGGGCGTAATTGTTATGGAAAATAACAAAATGGAATTTTTAAGAAATTTTGCCTAGATACGATATACTATAAATAATAGCTTCATAATTTTCAGTAAATTTTGAATCTTTTTTATTAGAACCATTTTCCCCTATCTGCTAAAATAAAGTGGTGGGGAGAGGTTATATCTGTTTTTATTTAAATATTAATAACTCCGGACTGGATGATCGGAATCCAACAAGCGAGGGCTCGTTTAAAAGAGCGTTTCTTACTCTATATTGCGCCATATAAACAATAATAATAAGTTTTTGAACGTAGACGCTAGAGGGCGTTGTCTTACAATTTAACAAACATTGCGCGTTTTTTCAAAATAATTAAATGCGGTAGTATATGTAATTTTAGCTGATAGTAAAGAGTAATAAAAGCTTAACAAGTCAGCAAAAACCGCATCTTGATATCATTTTTCAAACCAAAGTTATTAGCAGAATTATAATAAATACGAAAATACAAGTCCTTAATTACCTTATTTTTCTAACACGGTATCACTAGCCCTCTTGATTGGACATATAAAAAATAATATAGAAAAGATTATTTTATTCAAGATATCGACAACGAACCATAATACTAACAGAAAACCATAATACTAGGTGTATTAATATCTAATAATTAAGATACCAATGACGGTGGATAAGAAACGACACCTCAGTGAATTCATGGTAGGCTTTTGAAAAAATTGCTTTTAAACGGATAGTTTAAGCATCAAAGTATTATTATATCAACATTTTGATAGTCTCAGCAGCCTTTTTTTTTATCTTTTGATTGGTTTTCTAAAATTGCCTTTCTTCAACAGAGAAAAAACGCTACTAAGACTATCAAAATGTTGATCTAATGACACTTTGACGTTTATACTATTACGTCAAAAGCAACTTTTTTCCAAAGCCTACCATGACTTCACTGAGGCGTCGCGTCCTTTCTTATTAACTGTCATTGATATCTTAATTATTAGATATTAATACATCTGGTATTATTGTATTCTGGTATATTGTCGAGTTTAGAATAATCTAATCATTTCTATCTTATTTTTTGTCAGAATGTTCATAATCAAGAGGCCTAGTAATACCGTGTTAGAAAAATAAGGTAATTAAGTGCTTATATTTTCGTATTTATTATAATTTTGCTAATAACTTTGGTTTGAAAAAAGATATCAAGATGCGGTTTTTGCTGACTTTTTAAGCTTTTATTACTCTTTACTATCAGCTAAAATTACATATACTATCGCATTTATTTTTTTGAAAAAACGCGCAATGCTTGTTAAATTGTAAGACAACGCCCCCTAGCGTCTACGTTCAAAAGCTTATTATTATTGTTTATATCGTACAATATAGAGTAAGAAACGCTCTTTAAAACGAGCCCTCGCTTGTTGGATTCCGATCATCCAGTCCGGAGATATTAAAATTTAAATAAAAACAGATCTAATCTCCCCCCACCACTTTATTTTGGTAGATAGGGGAAAATGGTTCTAACAAAAAATATTCAAAATTTACTGAAGATTATGAAGCTATTACTTATAGTACACATTATCTAGGCAAAATTATGTAAAAACTTCATTTTCTTATTTTTTGTTGCAGTTGCGCCCCCTAGCGGTTGTTCTACAAACTTGAAAATAATTTCCAGCAATTTCTCATAGTCTCTTTAGTTATAAATATTTTTTTTCCGCAGGCCCTACGGCTAATACTTTCCGAGATATAGCCGAGAGCTATTCTTAGTGGGACACCCGGTACACCAATTTGTCGTTGCCCTCTTAGTTCTTGAAATACAAAGCGAATAAAATTGATGCATTTTTCGACTCCCCTCGTATCTCAGTCATAAACTAATCAAAAAATAACATGATATCTGAAATAGAGTCATTTATACATTCGTTATAAAGCGGAGGTTAAAAATATTGCCTATTTATTTTAATTATACCTGGTCTTTAATATTTGCAGAGATTTATTGATGGTTGGATGTCTTATACCAGTAAACCAGCAAAACTGCTTGAGAAATTAGACATCGAGGCCGATTTACAATATAGCGCCAGATTTATATATAACTTTATTAAGAAAATTTATTTCTTATGTAGTAATTATGCTGATGATCAAACAAAAATCGATGAGCGAGAGAAGTCTATGCAGGTAATTTTAAAAACAATTTCTTGAAAAAAGAAACTTATTTTGCTTAATGCAACATTTGGGTTGGAATTTTTGGTGTTAGGTTACATGGTTGTTTACCACAACAACATACCAAAACATTTTGTTTTAGGGCTCGAACACACTGACGACCAGGTCGCACCGGCCAGGCCGCAGCTACCTCTAAAACCATTAAATCAAATGATATAGCATACACTAACGTCCTGGCCGTCCGTTGGTCGTTGCGACCAGAAGACTGCACGGAAATATTATTATTTTCTGCCGCTTGTTGCCGGTTTTCTTCAAAATTAATAATTTTTCAGATGAAATCCCTCAAATTCAAGGCACAATATTTTATTTTCTATAAGATATAGTGTTTTAGTGTAGTTTTTGCACACGTGCAGAAAATCCAAAGAAATAGTATACAGACTGGATCAAAGGTAAACTTAAATCTAATCCCTTTTTTTATCAAGGGTCGATTCTAGTAAAAACTCAAAACATTTTTAAATGACATACCAACTCTATTTATGGTTGGTATGATACCTGTTATTATACCTTTGAGTTTCGATGTTAAAAAATAAAAAAAATAAAGTTTTTCTACAACCACTTGTTTTTTTTTATTAAATTTTTTTTTAGTTGTATTGTAGTCATGTACAAGGAGGACAACTGTATTTTAAATTAACGTTTTTCAAACAGGGTTCGTTAGACTATATTTCTACTAGATACATTATTTTGAAAAAAAAATAAGAAAGTAACTTAAACATTCATAAAAATAGAAGTAATTACTGTTGTAGATTCTTCGTTATATTGCAAACATTGAAATAATTGGACCTGCTCTCTACCTGCCTAGACTCTCTACCTGCTTATATTTAGAGCCAGTGTCTGACGACCTTTTTTTTACGATGGCTCTAATGTTTACTTCTAAAGTCGATAAGAACCTTCAGTAGAAGTCCATATCAGTAGAAAAAAGAAACAGAATATCTCCCTTTTTGTCGGTCGCGCGTACACAATGCTTTTTGTGCCCCCTATTCTGCTTGTTCAAGTCTGGACGCACCTTTAGGAACAATACTGTTTTTGTCCTTTATTGATATAATGCTGAAAATCTCACAAGTTACATGTCTCACTCTACACATATTAAATTATATAGATGTAGGATGTAGAATATTCTGTTATGAAACGACTGATGGAATAGCAGGCATCGCGGATTTGAAAAACATGGAAATAACGACGTAATCGTATAGTCGGGGTTGGAGATTTTACTTACTCCATTTACCACACCAGTATTTATTAACGAAAAATCCAAGAATATTTTAAATGCATTATTTAATATTAGAACATTTAATAAGCTCATGAATAGCAACTTCGCTTTTTAGTTAACTCGGATATTTTAACATTTCTGAAACAATATTTTCTAATTGGTAAAACGTAAAAAATCGTTAGATTTGACAACTCTGTTGAAACTGGTCGTTCATCTGGCCGCAGCTATAAACGCAATACATCCGGCTAGCCGACGGCCAGAGGTCGTTGCGACCTGGTCGTCAGTGAGTTCGAGCCCTTAATGTGTAGATACACGTTTCCCTAACAAGATTAGCAATATCAGCATAGGATTAGAAGCTGAAATTAAGTTATACATATACTGTTACTGTTTTAATTTACATATTATGTTGTGCTCTCGTATACCGGGTGCGTCTAAAAAGTGGCTCACCCCTATAACTTTTTTATTTTTTTAGATAAAAAACGAGATTTGATATGTTAGTATATGATATTAATTAGTATTGATTGACGTATTCAATTGTTTTTGGTCACTTCCTGTTTCACCGGAAATGACTGCAACTTTTGATTATTAAATGGCACCCTCGGTATTTTTTTTTACTTTATTCGATAGAAAATGGCATTCTGAATAGAATGACATATAAGTTGACATTTGATATGTCATTCTATTCAGAGTGTCATTTTCTATCGAATAAAGTAAAAAAATACCGAGGGTGCCATTTAAAAATCAAAAGTTGTAGTCATTTCCGGTGAAACAGGAAGTGACCGAAAACAATTGAATACGTCAATCAATCCTAATTTATGTCATATATACTAACATACCAAATATCGTTTTTTTTTAACTGAAAAAATAAAAAAGTTATAGGGGTGAGCCACTTTTGAGACGCGCCCGGTATATACGTGTTATTCTGTTTCTATCTCAAATGTCATGCCACGCAACACGATGCAACGAGGTTTTGTGTGTTTATTTTTCCGTTTAATTAAAGTGTTGCGTACACACTATAGGTCCACACCACGCCACGCTATCCCACGCTATCACACGTGTGATGGGACGATTCAAAAGTCCCTGACCTTACCGACGCGTGTAAAGGCGTGTTGTTCTCCGCTTGCCTCTCTAGCCCCGAAGCTATCTTCTTTTCTATTTTATGCAATGATTTTATCGTGCGAGGGCAATCTTACTGAACAAAATCAACAGGAATGGATGTTGTACTTTCCGCTCAATATAGAGAATAGAAGATGCGCCATGAACCATGGGGAGAGATAGGGAGACTCTTAAAACTTACAGATAAGTTTATATAATATATTGTACATTCTTCTAAATTCTTCTTGAAAAAAATTCATTATTAGACGGACTGCTGATGCTGTATCAAGCATCGTTCCCGAGACAACACTGATAACTTTTGACGATAATACTTTTTTATACTATTTAATAAGCGTGTCATCACATGGCATTATACAAATGTGTACACTCTTTACACACGTCGCTATACGTGGGATAAGGCGTGGCCTGGCGTGTTGCTAGTTGGGTCCAGACTTAAGTTGCTTAGCTGATATGTTTCTATATCTATAACGGTTATAGTATTATTTTGTTTAGTCAGTGTCAGCAAGTAGTAATATTACGAATGACTCGCCATCACTAATATATCACGAAGCTTCCATTCAAATGTCAATGAGCCAACTAACTGGAAGGTCCACCCAGAAAGAATACATAATGTATTTGCCAGAATACGAATTATTAGATTTTGCAATTAAGACGTCTTTCACTATGCCGCTTAGAGAATATAGTAGTATGTATGGGGTAGTACCAATGAGAGACATTTATAAAGGTAAGATATTTATAAATAAATTTTTATTATGATATAATTCAAAAATATTTAAAATATATCTATCAAAACCTCATTAATAATTATTAATAGGTATTGTCTAAAAATATTATTAGCTCTCATGTAAATAGTTATTCTAATTATTATTCTTATTATTTAATAATAGAGTTCATGTCATGTCATGAGATCCAGATTTCATATGTTGTTTTAACAAAATGTGTCAATGGTTTTTATTTAATAGATATCTCACAATATAGTATTCTGTATTTTCTGAAATCAGGGTTGAGACAAATAAGTAAAATTCATAAAATTGGCGTATCCTAATTATTTTTGACAAGTACAGGGTGGTCGAAATTGGTCTGTTTTAACAGAGAAAACCTTCTTAGATTTCCTGACTAGATAGAGCAAAACCGACATAGATGTCATGGGCTCGATTTCTGAGATACGTTTAATGACGTAAACCGCCTCTTGATATTTTCACTGTTAACTGAGATACTGATATTTTGTATTTCGCGAAATAATAAAATTCTGTAAAAACGTTCTTAAGGTACTTTTTAAGCACAATCCAGTGGCTTACTCAGTTTTTTCTATACTTGCTCTTTTTGTCAGAAATAATTAAAATATAATTTTTTAAATGGAAATCATAGTTGGCTATGAACTTAAAAAAAAGCTGGCGTTTAACCCGATTTTACGATATAAAGTTATGTGTATTTATTTCTAAGAATGAGGGAAATATTAAGTTTTTTATCTTTGTATCGAAGCGGGCCTTGATTTTGTGTTATGACCTAGTTGCCTAATTATTTTTATCACAATTTAATATTCTATATTATTATTTATCTGCAGAATTAAAAACTTTTGAAAAGGTAAATCAACATTCTATATTAGTACTACCAATTACAATTAAAACGCCAGGGTTACAACTGAACTATTAAATGGAGAATTTAGAGAGAATTGGGTTGGAACAAGGGGCACATATCTTGGCCTGCTAGATTCTGTGATTTAACTCCTATCGACTTTTTTATGGGGGAAATTAAAAGACCTTATATACAGGGTATCCCAGGCTGAGCGTGCATTAGAAGTTTCTAGAGAACTGCAATATCTAGATCGGAGATTTTTTGCACATCGTTGTTTCACAATGAGATCTATCAATTAAAAATATTTTCTATATGGCGGCACTTCCGGAAATACCGGAAGTTGACAACAACTTTCTTATTTTAAATGGGTGCCCCCATTTTTTATTACATACTTCAATTCTTTGTAAAATTTTATGAATTTTGATATTAACACTCTATACCTAACATTAACGGTTTTTGAGAAAAAAAAAATATTTTAAATTTTTGGACGAAAAAAACTGTTTGTCAAAAATATGTGTATAGTCTAAACGTCAAATTTAGTGATTACCACAGCCACTGTGCTATAAAGAGAAGCTATGCGGCTATCTATTTCAAAAATTAAATTGTTTGAATGTCTTATGGTGCGTTTAGACTTAAGCACGCACGCACTGATCCTCCGCGAATGCTCAAGTGTAAACGGCTGTGCGCGCACGCTCACTCTGAATCTGTCTGCGCGCGATCAGCCGCGAACGTGAGCCGTTTGGTGTCGGTTTTTGGGATTTTAAGTGTGCGCGAACGCTCAATTTGAACCGGCAATTTGTTTTGTCTGCGTTCGTGCGTGCGTGTGTGATTTTTTTTCGTTTTCTTTATTAAAATTATGGAGTGGATCAATGAATCTCCGTTATTATTAATTAAAGAATATGAAAAGTTGCCTATATTATGGGATGTTAAACATTCCTTGTATTATAAAAAAATAAAAAAACGCATGGCAAGACTTTGTAAATAAAATTAATTTTGAATATGTCGATATTAATGAAATTGCTATTCTAAAATTTGTAACTTTTGTTCGTAATTTTTGGTGGTATTAAATTTTGTAAATATTCAAAGGCGGGCCTGGTCATTCTTGTAAAGTTTTTGAACTAATCATAGCCCTCCTCAGACACTAAGTGGTTGCAGTAAATTATATCGATATCTAAAAATTTGGATTTGCCACCAGCGACGATGTTTTCGATTTTTCTCCTTTTTAATAATTAAGCTGTGCAAACAATGACTGCAGCCTCGACTATTTCTTGGTCGTCCATTATTTTCACCAACACAACTCTGCTGTGCGCGCACAAATGGATCATTTCATTCGTCGAAAAGAGCGCGAACGATTGCCGTGCGCGCACGCTCAGCTCGTGCGTGCTCAAGTCTAAACGCACCAATATAATAATGGCCGCAGCTGTCATGGAATTGGGCGATAAAAAAATTATTATAAATCATTTTTTTTTCAAATGGAAAACCACTTTTGTTATTTCGCTATTGAAAAGGCTTTGCAATTCATTACTTTTTGACTATACTTGTTCCTATACCTAAAATAAATCGTTTATAAGTTATTTAAGATTTAGTTTTACAACGCATATTTTTCTTGATTTTAACGAGTAGCCTATGACTATATAGGTGGACGTCAAGTGATGTAAAACAATAGATGGCCATGTTATATTGTGACTAGTGATGAGCCAAACAGTGATTTTCTGTTCACAGGCTTACCTGTGACAGCGACTTTGTATTATCTGTGACTCTTAACTGTGACTGCGACTTTATGATTATGAATCCGAAAGCACAATCACGGCTTAAATATAAGATACGATACGAATGATACGATTCTGTTGTTGTTGTTATACTAATTTTTATTTGTCCTTTATCCAAGGCCGCTGAAATAGAAAACACTAAACAGTGGGTAAAAGGTATATTAAAAAATTAACATAAAACAATTTTTTTATTTAAAGAAACCAACGGGAAAAGAATAAAATATGCAATATGCTCATAACCATAACGAACGAAACTTAACAACACGAGATAAGTAATACGATAAACAACAAATTTAATATCTTCCTTTGTATTAAAATAAACGAAATGTATAAAAAATGAAGTTTCTAAAAAAAAAATAAACAGTATAAAGGTAAAACTTTATGTTTGGGTTTAAAAAAACCTGCTAAACTAAAAAGGAACCAAACCGATTCGTAGTCATAGAAAATAGTAATAAAATATAAAATACATAAAAAATTAAATCACTTATCGGCAGCTGCGTTCGCGACCGCGACGTCCCGCTCTGTGAAGTATTTTCTCGTTACCAGAGAAATCACAATTAACTGTAATCGTCACGCTTTAGCAAGTCACCGTTTATTTTCAAATCAATCACAGGCCGTGACTGTGATTATAGAATATCAGTGATAAAGTCACAGTTACCAATATTTCACTCATCACTAATTGTGACACTTTGTTCAAAAAGCAGTATGTTATCAATCATCATTTCTAAGCCAACTTTGCGCTGTTTTTTTTCGATCCTACGGTATATTATTAATAATATAATTGATAATATCAACTCTAAGATATCACTAAAGAGCGAAAAAACGAGATATATTTTTATAAATACACTTTTTAAACTCTGAAGGCAGCAGTATTTATAATATAGAAAATTCAAATAATTCGTTTTCTGACAGATGGAAATAAATTGTTTGACTGTTTGACACTTAATGTCAAAGGAAGCTAGATAAAATCAAGATAAATATACGTTTTCAAACTAAATCTTAAATAACTTAAAATCGATTTATTTTAGTTATAGGAACATGTATAGTCAAAAAGTAACGAATTTAAAAGCCTTTTCACTAATGAAATAAAAAAAGTGAGTTTCCATTCGAAAAAAATAATTTATAATTTTTTAATTGCTCAATTTCATGACACCTGCGGCCATTATTATATGATATTCAAACAATTTAATTTTTGTTAATAGATAGCCACATGTCTTCTCTTTATGGCACAGTGGCTGTGGTAATTATGACGTTTAGCCTATACACATTTTTTTGACAGGTAGTTTTTTTCGTCCAAAAATTTTAAATATTTTTTTTCTCAAAAACGGTTATGTTAGATATAGAGTGTCTAATATCAAAATTCATAAAATTTTACAGAAAATTTAAGTATGTAATAAAATATGGGGGCACCCATTTAAAATAATGAAAATTCAGGATTCAATTATACAATCAAACGTCAGAAGTGATTGTAATTTAGCTCATAAGATTTAATTCCATCTAACATGGCAAACTGAAAAAACAGCTCTGATCTATTTTAATATGTTTAAATGATGTGGCAAAATTTGAAGGTAAGCTTTATCAGGAGTATTACGATATGAATTACACAATGGCAACACTGCACAAAATTCTTTTAAATTTTGTTTGTAGAAAACTGTTTTCTTTTAAATTTATTGCCCTCTATTATGTAGTAGCGAAACTACCACATCAAAATATCTGATTTGGAGACAGGCTTTTAAAGCCTGTCTCCTTTTGCTACCTACAATTTTATACATGTAACGAGGCTTCTGTTGCGTAGCTAGATATTCTGTGCTACTAGGCAAGCTTTTGGACTTATTAAACCAATTCGCCTAATAAATCGTTGTAACTCTGTGCGCAAAATATGTTTATTGTATATTCAACAAGGAGGTGCTCAATTTGAAAATCTTTGATTTTTTTAGAAAACTATATTCGTCACTCAAAAAATACGTTTTTTTAGTTTTGTTCTTTGTTTATTGTATCGATTTTAGTTGTAATTACTAATACTAATAATTACAATTACTAATAATAATAGAATGTTAATACATTTTCAAAAGTATTTAATTATGCAGATAAATAATAATATAGAATATTAAATTATGATAAAAAATAATTAGGCAAATTGGTCAACTCAAAATCAAACCCCCCTTCGATATAAAAATAAAACCTTAATATTTCTCTCATTCTTAGAAATAAATACCCATAACATTATATCGTTGAAAAGGGTTAAACGCCAGCATTTTTTTAAGTTCATAGCCGACTATGATCTCCATTTAAAAAATTATATTTTTTATTCTATCTGACAAAAAGAGCAAGCATAGAAAAAAACTAACTACTAGCCACTGGATTGTGCTTAAAAAAGTGAACGTTTTTACAGAATTATATTATTTCGCGAAATAAAAAAGTTATAGGCAATTTCAGGGGCGGATACAGGAAATTATTTTAGGGGGGGCCCAAAAAAAAATTGTGTAGAATATGCTTTTTAGGTCGTCATTTTTAACCCAAAAGCCTAATATTTAACCCAATTTATAGATTTTAGGGGGGCCCGGGCCCCATGCCCCCCCCCCTCTGTATCCGCCACTGGGCAATTTTCAAAATGGTAAAAAATTCAAAAAGACCCCGTATCTCTGTTGGCAGTGAAAATATCAACAGGCGGTTTACGCCATTAAACGTATCTCAGAAATCGAGCCCATGACATCTATGTCGGTTTTGCTCTATCTAGTCAGGAAATAGGTTTTCTCTGTTAAAACAGACTAATTTCGACCACCCTGTACATAGTATGATCGTACAAGTACATGGTCGAATACGACCGTATGATCGAAAAAACAAACGGCGTCAAGTTTTGAGAAAAATGAATGAATGACTTCCTTAAAATTTTTCTGTTGTAAAATATGAAAAATGGTTAATCCCGATCATACTTTTCAAATTTATAACAAAATTGTTGAATAGGTGATTAAAGAGAGACTAAATAAAATAAACTGACTTGGTATTAGGTATACATGAGATCTAACAACTTTTTATGGTGGAAGAATTGTGTTGCGAGACTTGGCATTTTTTTACATTCTATGTTTTTGATGGGATCTCATTTCTTTTTGTAGGTTATCCTCCTATTTTTAGCCGACCCATACCAACAGGTATGGTAGGCTATTAAGATCGACAAAAAAAGTTTTTTTAATTTCACTCAAAATAAGTTATTTGTGTCATAAATGACCTAAATACAAAATATTTTCATGGTGTCTGTCTGTCTGTCCGTCTGTCCGTCTGTAACACGATAACTCAAAAACCGCTAAACCGATTTTAACCAAATTTGGCACAAAAATACTGTGGCACCCGAGAATCTAGAAAAACTAATGGCCTAGTTTTTGGTGGGGTGGAGGGTTGGTAGGGGGGTATGGGAGGGGGTTAAAAATTTTAAAAAATTGTAACTCCAAAATTACAGTAACTAGCGAAACGAGGTTTTCAATTTAAGATTAGGAATAATATTTGCAACAAAATTTGTAATAACATCAAAATCAGTCAAAGTCGCAGTTTTTGAAATATTCCGTGTTTCCGTAGTTTAAACTAAAAGAACTGCCTACCAACTTTTTATTAACATATTTTAGTATGGGCGGCTATACGTGCCTCCCGGCGCCAATTTTTTTCTAGGGTAATATGTCATTCAAAATAATATTAAAGAAATTTGACTAGCAATAATTCATAAACTTTGAGTTATCGTATAAATTCAGATAATATCAAATTAATTAATTCTAGTTTTCTAACAACTTATGTTTACGACTTTCGTTATAACCTAAATATCAACTTTAAAAATGTTCAATTCATAATTTTACCAATGCTTATTCAAAATCATGTTTTTGTCAATTTTACACATATTTTATTTTTTTATCTCGAAAACTATTAGAGATACGTATAGGTTTGTATAATAGAAAAATTATGAGATATAAAAGTAGTTTCCAAAAATGTAATAATATACTGGGTGTTTTATTTAAAATAACAAAGATGCTACCACTTTTCAAATGATCCGGCAACACTGTAATGCTGATAATTTTTTAGAGAGATGGAGCAGGTGCCTTTATATAAAAATCCAAATTTTTAAAACAATTCTATCACCGATCCCCGTATTACCATCACCGGAAAGTCGGTTACAGGTAGCGACTAGACAGCTAACTGTTGATTCATAAGGATATTTCGAGATTTTTCATTTTTTCCTGCCATTATATGCTTAAAGCTACTTAAAATTCGAAATTTGAAGTTAGTGACACATCTAGAAGTATCGTAGAATTTTGATGACGGCGAGTGAGTCACTGGCGAAGTTAAAGAAGTTTGACTAGAACCCTAGAACCTAACCATGCCCCCAGATACTTTAACAATAGCAAAAAATATGACGTTTTTCAAAACTAATATTATAATAACGTTTTTTTTTTCATTTTCTCTAAAACTGCATGAAAATTTGTAAAAGTATTAACGGGATTAACCATTTTAGAAGAAGTAAAAAATTTGAATCAAGAATGCATTTTTCTCAAAATATCACTAATAAAAAACTGTTTCCTCTTGCAAAGACAATCCGGGGACATACTGTATAAAATTTACTAATTTTTAGATAGGGTATGGCCAGTTCCTCACGACTTTATACCCTACGACATCTTTGAACAACCGTACACCTGTATGACCGAGTTGCCAAAAGAAAATCGTATTCCTTCAGCATTCTATAGTCCTTCTTGTTTAGGGCTAATCGAAAAGAAAGAAGCAAGCCAAACCAGACAAAGCATAACAATAATTGACAACCTAAGTGTTAAGTAAAATGTTTTCTAAATTAAATTTATTGTACTCAAAATTTTGCAATTTTATTTTATTTATGTAACTTTTATAATGATCTTAATTAGTTGAATATATAGTCTGTCCAACGGCAAGATCCTTGACAGTGATAGATGTGTCTGTCATTTTAATTTTAAACTAGTGTATTTTATTTTACAAAGAAATAAGTTGGTACAATTGGAACGCATAGCAGGAAATTAATATATAGAGAAATTAAAATAACTTTGCGGTTGCGCACATATACGACCACCAGAAAATTCCATAAGACGACGCATGGTGTCATTGATGACGTGCACCGAAAGTTGTTTTAATTTCCCTTTATATTTAAAATTTGACTGACAAGTGATTAAATACTTCAAAATATTGTGAAAAACTTATAAAACTGAAAAAATGTAATCGAGTTATTTTATTAAAAAAACGGTATGTGTTAATACAAAACAAACAAGAACAAAACACCACATACCCAAAAAATATAAAAAAGAACTATTCCTGACTTTCAAGCTTCAAGAAACTTCCCGTATTTATTATTATATTTATCAATACAACTTATGTACAAATACAAATTTGTAATAGTCCACAGGAATAAATAAAACAAACTCTTTTATTATTAATAACACTTACCAAATTTGATACCTTGGTTGGTTAATTAACTTTAATCTTATTTTTTTTAAACCAGTACCTTTTGACATTATTTTTCTCTAGTACTAAAATCCATAATTTACCTATCGTGTCATTTTACAGCTACTCCAGTTTTTGGTATATGTTTAGTACGATCCTTATACCATATACGAGATGCACTTATCTACGACGAGATGATATACAAACTTTATTGATGGTAACTTTATTGGTGTATAAGACTTTCTCCCTGGGCAGCAAGTATTAACTATAAACTGTGCTGTGGGTCTAGAGTTAATTTTCCCTCGATTTCTCCTCCACTTGACTTCAAAAGACACAAAACACACGTAAAAACACGAATCAAAATACAGGGTATTCTAATATATCTTCCAAAATGCAGGGTATTTGACATAAGTTGACACAAAATTATAACCTATAATTTGGCAAGACTCTGACAAACTTCAAAAATCTAAAGGTGAGTTCATACGGATCGACGTCCGTTTGTCGTTCATCGTTCCGTGAAACCAATAAAATCTGAAATATGACCTGTCATTTTTGAAATAAACCAATAAAACTGGTTAGACGACGAGAACAACAAGAGACGACGCATGACGGATTTATATTTAAACCCATCCATAGTTAACTTAGTAAAATAAATACATTTGTATGGGACGTCATTTCTTTTCTTCTGCCATCGTCTGTCGAAATCTTACCTGAGAACAAAAAAACAGAGAGTTCATTAATTACAAAGGTATTTTAAACTTGAAAATATCTTTGATTAATTACATGAGAGTATCAAAAGTGTAGGGCAAATATCACGTATTTTTACACGTATTTTTTTGGACAAAAAGTAACGTAAAAATATCAGAAAATCAGATCAATTTAAAGTAAAATATGTTTCTAGACTAAAATATATCGAAATAATTAATACCGGGTGCGTCTCATAAGTGGCTCACCCCTATAACTTTTTTTTATTTTTCTTAGATAAAAAAACGAGATTTGGTGTTAGTGTATGACATAAATTGGGATTGGAAAGTATCTCTCGATGGTTTGGTACGAGCAACTGTTCTCAAAATATTTACAATGGAAATAGTCAATACATGTCATTATTGAAATTATATTGAATTAAAAACCTAAAATAAAAAATGCAGGTCCGTATTTAAAAAAAATTAAGTTGGCCTCTGTATCTCATAAATTTTCAGCTAATTTAAAAATCTAAAAATATTATCAGATAGCCCTAATAAAGTCGCTATATAATAAGCCCTAATATGTGCAATTAGTTTTTTGATTTTCTGAAAAGTAACGACAGGAAAAAACAAAATTGATTTTCAAAAAAATTCGTTTTTTCCAAAAAACTCAGCAATCCTTAAAAATTTTAAAACTTTTTTGATGGCATCTTGGTGAACATCCCAAGGGGCAACTTTGCCCCAATTTAACCATGTTCTTATCTATTACGGTTATCGAGATCCCAATGCTCGTACCTCGAATTTGTATCACCCTGTACAAAATTAAACTGTTTTCCCTATTTAAATGCTCAAAAATTATTAACTGGAGCCGGAAGCATGATAAATAATTGATCAAATTAGAGACGAAATAGAGTTAGATTGGCATTAGTGGTGACATCCTGACCCACAAATAAAATTTTGTTGAGTAATTTAACTAATGGCGGATGTCGGCCTTTGTTAATTCGCTAATTCGGCCTGCAAATCGCGTGTAGGTAGTCTACACAAATGTTATAACTATAATATAAAAAAAATATGCATGAGTTTTAATATTTATTGTTCATTGTGTGATAAGTTATTGTTTTAACGTAAAAATAAAATTATGGTAAATAAAAATACGTTAATCTCGTTAATATAAAAATTTATTGGAAAATCATTTTATTTACAAATCTTAATTAAATATCAGTTGTCGCATTCTCAATACTTTAAAAAATGATGTAGATTTTACAGAAATAAGTTGCATTTTATATCAGAAATTAACATTGCTCTTAACCAGTATCATTTCTTTAGAAGCACTGCATTACTAAAGTCAATCCATATTTATTAAGTAATTCTCAAAATCACTCAGTCTAGATTACAACAATATAGTACCGTATGATCGAATAAAAATGGCGTCAGCGATGGCTATGAAATGACGATCGATGACATTCCCCATATAATTTTACATATAAAATGACAGCGATCTTCATTTCATAGCCATCGCTGACGCCGTTTTTATTCGATCATACGGTACTTTGTAATTTATAATGGAACACACTGGGTCAATTTATATACTCGTAGTGTAGTAGCATGGTACATAGAAAACAAGGTATGATCGATAGCGGCCCCAGTTTGCGCATATCACCAGTGACGTCATATGTCATACAAAAAAAATATCCATATTGTTCAATTGCCACTAATAAAAAAAGACCTAAAATAGGGAAGAATTAGGACATAACCCCAAAAGCTATGTCGAATCATTGACATTTGAACAATGACTAAAGAATATAAGGACATGTAACGCCCATATACGAATTTGTGACCTTAGACGCCATTCTTTTGCTGGCAAACAATGAGTCATTATTTGGTCACCAGCGACAATTTTAGCGATTTTTAATAGTTTGTGTGTAGTAAACTTTGTATAAACTTTATTACAATGGTGATTAGTTGTGCAGCTTTCAAGTGTAAAAGCAGCAGCGATAAGAAAGACCCAGGAGTTATGTTTCATAGGCAAATAAACAGTCCACTCCAACTTTTTAGCGTTTTCTTATTGAATTCCGATAATTCTTCTTCAATTTCAATTAACATCTATGTACTTGATATGTGCTATACGTCGATACTAGTTTTGTACCTTTTGTTAATACTTTAATACGTTTTTTTCGTAATTAATTAGTATGATACACCATAGGCGTAGTCAAAACAATTATCAAAAAATATAAATATTGCTTCAAACAGCTAGGTTAAGAAAAACATGTGCCACGGCACTGTTTGGTTACATCAGCACAATCTGCTCTCGGGTGTTATTTGTCCTTGGATTTTTTAGTCATTGCATTTGAAAAATTACTTTCACATTTATTATATGTCATCTGTTTGACAATTTGAAATTGGCGAGCGGAGCTTGCCGACCAATGGTGCCGTTTATAATCTGTGACGTAGTGACCAACCTGCGCAATATCATACCTTGTTTTCTTTGTATCATGGTGTAGGAGGTTCTCAATCTCAAAGTATTCCCGAATTATCTACTAGTATTTTTTAAAGAACATCGAAAATGTTTTATCATGGGCATAAAACTTATTACTACAACAATAATTAAAATACTGAAACAATAAATAGGTATTTGTTGTGCCTATATAATAACATTAAAAAAAAAGAAATACTTCAAAATAAATACTTGTTTCTGTAGAAGTAGAATCTTTTGTCCTTCTTCGCTGACTAGCAAGTTCGGTATGTATTTTTTAAAGTCCGGTCATAGACGCTAAAATATAATAATTTTATATACAGACTGCTGCAATTAAGCTTGGTTAAAAGAATGCGCCTGAACTATTACATATTTTCAACACTTGTTCAATACATAAGTTCTATATTTTCAAGACTTGTCAAGAAAAAAAATATACATACCGGGTGGTGCATCGCCGTTGGAAACATAGAAATCGCATGCAAATTTTGAATTGTCCAGATATTGGCTCCCCTTTTACAGCGAAGTTGTAAACAAGCCAACCTTTACAATTTTGAAGAAACCCATTTCAAGTAATTTAAGAAAAAATGTATCTATTTTTACATTAAAACTGAACAGGTAACAATGCCAAACCAGGCAAATGCTAACGTACCCTTAAGATTTGCTTAAGATGTCATCCTATAATTCTGTTAATGCCAAATTGTATTTTCTAAACGTTAGACTATTCGTTCATTCCAACTAGTTTTAAATTACAAAAATACCCGGGGACACTAACCGCAGGTGCTATAACGATGTAGTCTAGACAGCACACATAGATAAAAGAAACAAGTTTAGATTGGAAAGTGCCCATAAGGACAATGTAAATACTATTTGGGGCTATTCTTACAATGGTCGCTCTCCATAGCTTTTGATAATTTCGGAGCGGTTCGGCTTTTTCCGGAATTATGTCGCCAAATATTATTCAAATTTATTATTTGCTTTTAATTTTTAAAATAAAATACATTGCATATAAGGAACTTTATTTTATATGAGTACATGGTATGAAATGCCTATGAAACATTGGAAACCGACGTTATGCCACAATCCACGATGGTTATTGCAGTTCACAGTTCACACAGCTTTTTAAGTTTTTAATGCCACTTTTTCACAATTATCACGGGCTTGAGTAAATCAAATTTAAATTGAACTCACAAGATAGCAATAATTACTTTGAAAATGGACACTTTAAACACTTTGCGGTATTTTTTCAATGAGGGCAGTTTAAATTTTGAAACATTTTTTAATATTCTGACTTTGACAAGAGGAAATTTTAATTATTTACTCTTGTTTAGGGTTGTTCTTAGCAACCGCTATAGCAGCGCCAGATCCCGTATACCGTTATGCACCCCAAAACAATTATAATAGTACTAGAGCTAGCAATGCAACGTCGGGAAAACAAGTATACTATGCTCTCTGGAATAGCATGCGGCCCGTCTGGCTGCCGGTAAACGTTGCGATTCCTACTGCGCATTGAAAGAAGATCCTATATTTTTATTAGTCCTTTAAATTCTAGTGTTGAATATAAACCGACCGAGCAGGGGCGGCTCGTAGCACTGGAAGATGGTAAGGCACATTAGAAGATAATTTTTATTAATATGTATATAGGGTGACCATTAGTACGAGGAAGTCCAATATCTTCGTAGTTGCCAAAAATATAAGAAAAAAAAGTTCTATATAAAACAGTGCGTATCCTAAAAAAAATATTTTCTTTAAAATTGCAATCGCATTACCATTTTTCTGTACAGAATTGGGTTCAGCATAAAATTCAGCATACATCACACTATTGATTTATTTCAAGCACTATATATGCGGGATTTCCATGATAATTCATATTTGAAAAAAATTATTTTTTAAAAAATGGTAAAAATCTGGAGTGAATTTAACTTATTGATATATTATTGCTTAAGTATGTATACCGGGAGTTGCATCGTCGTTGGGAACATAGGAAATCCCATGCAAAATTTGAACTGTCCAGATATTGGCTCCCCTATGGATTTTATAGCGAAGTCGTATATAGACTTTTTAAAGGTCTACGTTTGGTAAACACACATGCCAAATTTGAACAATTTTGGACAAGCCGATTTTAGGTAATTTGAGAAAAACTTAATCGATTTTTAAATTAAAACTGAATAGGTAACAATCAAACCAGTCAAAAACCGACATTCCTTAAGTTATCAGCGTCATTTTCAAACGTTTTTACTTAATTTTAAGAAAATTTTAATATTCAGTACTAGTAATAATTTATTGTTATACACATAAAGAAAAAGTGAACATGATAAAATACGCGGGAAATAGATTAGACAGTGTATCTGACATGTTTCAGTTAATTTTCCCTAAATATTAAAATTTTATTAAAATTAAATTACTTTTGACAATGACAAAATCAATTACAAATACAAATAGTTTGTAAACCTAATGTATGTCAGTTTTTGACTGGTGTTTGATTGTTACCTGTTCAGTTTTAATATAAAAATCGATTAAGTTTTTCTCAAATTACCTAAAATCGGCTTGTCCAAAATTGTTCAAATTTGGCATGTGTGTTTACCAAATGTAGACCTTTAAAAAGTCTATTTACGACTTCGCTATAAAATCCATAGGGGAGCCAATATCTGGACAGTTCAAATTTTGCATGGGATTTCCTATGTTCCCAACGACGATGCAACACCCGGTATAGCGAGATATGTAGGACAAAAGAAGAAATCCGAGAAACATTCACCTTATTTTGTACAGGGATTTTTTTATGGCACGGCCAACATTGCAATATTATAATGCTATATCTCAATTTTTTTAACCCTAACCAAAATACTCACTGTATATTACTTTTAGTATTTTAGATACCTACAGACTTAAAAAGCGCCACATTTTTGTATTTAAAATATTTCTAAATTTTTAGCAGTTGCGGAAATAGCCTTATGTAATATAATTCGCAGTATTATACCATATGATCGAATAAAAACGGCGGCAGCGATGGCTATGAAATGAAGATCGCTGTCATTTTATATGTAAAAGTATATGGGAAATGTCATCCATCGTCATTTTCAAGCCAACTGGGACGCCGTTTTTTTTCGATCATACGGTACCTATTACATAGGGCTATTGCAACAGTAAATTTTTATCAAAGCGACCTCAGGATATTTTGTCTTATATTTTACTCTGTATGGTAAAATTTTGTTTTTCTAGCCATCCTATAAAAATATAACAAAATGAAATCTGTAACAGGTTGCTTTACTTTTTGACTATACGAGTACACAATTTATTTAGAAATGATTCGAATTCGAAAAACTTTACCAGGGAAGTCCTCTGATGATACATGGTCCCTCTAAATCATCATATCAATCAACAAGTCACTGCCCACTTTTTAGGTATTTACTTAATACGTTGTAATCAGTAAGACGAGTAATTAAACATGCAATTCACATTAAAAAACGTATATATTAATATATCAATCAATTTGAGACAAAACAGTGCAATAACCGGCAGAGTTAATTCAAACAAATACAAATTCCCAAATAATGCAATTCTGCATTTTCAGCCTCTCGCCTAAAATCTCTCGGGCTGATCTGGAAGTGATCTCTGGTGATACATATTTTTAACGAACGGTTTTTAAGGTTTAAATTTACATTTGAGGCTCGCCTCAATACGGTCTTTTTACGCGCTACTACTCCGTACATTTTATCTCTCTTCAACTAAAGGTTTTGCCTATGCTTTTTCTTTTCATTCTATAGCTTTCAGATTCCAGTGAACGCTGTCGCTCCGTCAATGCGATATACCACAATACGCTAGACAAGGAAAGGCGAGAGGCAAACCTCTGCACATATACTTCTTAAAGAACAAATGAGATGGATATACATCGTCGAGTTTGTCGCATATGGGAAAGGAAGCGCGTTTAAAGGAATACCATCGACGTAATTTATTGTAGAATGACGGATAAAAAATACAATTATTATTGATGCAAATAGGGAAAAAAATATAAAATTGTGATTAAAGATGTATTGATTAAAACGTGTAATTCCTCAAATGAATTGGTGATTCACTGCCTCATCTGCCTCATAGGACAAGCCGCCCCTGCGACCGAGTCTCCATAGCTCAGCGCGTAGAGGTCCTGCCTATCAAGCGAGGAGTCAGAGTTCGAGACCGGGTCAGGGCAAACACTTTTTTATTCTGTTTCGATGCGCAGTAGTGAACGTAACGGGTATCGGCAGTCAGATGGGCCGCATGCTGTTCCAAAGAGCATAGTAAAAGATGTATCAAAGAACCAGCTTTCTTAAAATACTTTTTCGAAAACGTTGCTAGCTATTAGACTATAAGTTATGGCGGCAAACCGAGAATTCCAATCTAAACTTGTTTCCTTTATCTATGGACAGTACAACAAATTACATTTAACAATGATAAAATCATACACTGACAACTTAAGGTATATTGATATTTGACTGGTTTTGCATCGTTACCTATTCAGTTCATAGACGAAGTTTTTCTTAAATTAGTTCAAATCGGTTTGTCCAAAATTGTTCAAATTTGGCATGTGCATTCAGCAATATTCAACATAGGCGGACTTAAAAAAACATTTTACGACTCAGCTGTAAAATTTAGAGTGGAGCCGATATTTGAATAATTGAAAATTTGTATGGGCGGGATTTCCTGGTTCCAACGACGATGCACTACCAGGTATATCATAGCTAATCTCAATAATATCTCAAGTTAATATACCTGTAAGTGGCACATATCTCTTTTACTGTTTTCTTCTACAACACTACTTATGGTATTTATCGTAACCACGTGATTATTGTCAATAACTTCGTATTTTTCCACTTTTTCGGCCATTCGCATTTTCTTATTGATTTTCTTAAGTTTCTCCGCTTGGAAAATCAATCTCAGATAATAGCAAGGCAACACGACACACTTTCCATTGGGTTCTTCCGCATCAATGTACACTCCACGTACCAGAAGTGAGTTCGCACAGCCCAACAGAATTAGGAGTGTTAAGGATATGACTAGAGTGATCCAGCAGCTCAAGGCAACGTCATCTACAAAAGACCAATAATATATTAATATACCGGGTGCGTCTCAAAAGTGGTTCACCCCTATAACTTTTTTATTTTTTCTGATAAAACAACGAATTTTAGTATGTTAGTATATGACATAAATTAGAATTGATTGACATATTCAATTGTTTTCGGTCACTTCCGGTTTCACCGGAAATGACATCCAGGACAAGACACTAAAAACATTAGACGATCAAATCTATTTTTTCAAGGTTCCTTTTTTAAAAATTAGTGTTCTTAACACAGCCATGACATTCTAGATTGAAATTTAAAATACAATTTGTTTTTGAGCAAATATGTCAAAAGTTTACATATGATATGTCATTCGATTCAGAGTGTTATTTTCTATCGAATACCTAAAGTAAAAGAAAATACCGAGGGTGCCATTTAAAAATCAAAAGTTGTAGTCATTTCCGGTGAAACCGGAAGTGACTGAAAACAATTGATTATGTCAATCAATTTATGTCACCTAATTTATGTCATATACTAACATACCAAATCTCGTTGTTCTATCTGAAAAAATAAAAGAGTTATAAGGGTGGGCCACTTTTGAGACGCTACCGAGTGCGTCTCAAAAGTGGCCGTTTCTTTGAAACTTTTTAAAAATTGAAACTTTATAATTTTTACATAGTAGAAATTACAACAGTAAAATCTGTTACTTCAAAAAGTACAATGGGTATTTCGCCACTTGTTCTGTAAGAAAATCAATAATTTTGAAGTTTAACTTGATGTAATGTCCTTTTAACAGAACGTCAACGGTTTTTATAGACATATCTCTTGAAAAAACTAAAGTGTTCTTGAATAGTTGTATTTAGATATTTTAAATAGTTTTTATTTGTCTTTTTTGTGTTTTTTTGCATATTACTAAAAAAATGCTGACAGCTGGTCTCCGTTGCTCTCTGCTTGCATTGTTTATTAGTAAATCACTGCTGACAATTAGTCATCGTTGGATTAACGCAGGGGTGTTTACAAAAAATAACTATTTTATTATGTAGATTTTCGTAGAGTACAAGTGGGCAAAATGCCCCATTGGACTTTTTTGAAGAGATGAATCCGCCACAGAGATATAGACATTTTTAAAAATCTGTCGATAGAACAAATAATAATGTCTAACTTTATTATTTCAATTTTTAACCAAACCAAACTATTACCTGGTAAAAAATAAATGTCTAACATCATCCATATTCCTCTCCACACGTTAATAGTTCCCACCAGTGAAAATATAATAAATAAATCAGCAAAAAGTAATCTACTAGCTCCAGATAGTTTGGTACAGATACTTCTAATAAGGGGTTGCAACAAATAAACTACAGCTATGATTGAGTAACCCAATACCTAAAAAATAATATTTTTTAATAATATTGGGAACGTAAGTCGACTAAACTATTATATTCTATAAATGTTGTATTTGGTATTAGAACTTATTATTTTGAATATCACACAAGAAAAGCGTTTCATTTGAGATAGTATCTCAATTTTTTTTTTTTGAAGTGAAATTTCTTGACACACGATGGGAGTAAAAACTGAAGGCCGTGACATGGCCATGACACACGAGAAGCGAGAGGAAAAATGGTAACGATCTTGGAGTGTCGCAACTCGGGCCCTATGTGAGCTAGGGGGTTGAAACTCGGAATGTAGATGGGACTAAACAAAAAATTTGTAAAAGAAATATGTCGTCAATAAATTTATGAAGTACCTACTTTAAGGTGTCTTAATAAAGTATACAACACATAATACAGTGTCCGGCAATAGTGCGTGGGGCATCTGTATGTAGCTCCTAGAATAAAAAACTTGAGAATTTTGTTTAAGTGCAAACCTAAAGTATGTACCAGGATGTATTTCAGGAAAATATTTTAACTTCTATAGGGGGGCTCAAAAAAGTGAGTGGACCTGGATGATTTTTTTAAACGGAACACCCTATATATTATTGCATTTTTAGCTTCCTTTCAGATCACTTTACACAACCCTAAGATATGAATAAATATGTTTCGATAGCTTAAGAGATATTAAAAAAATAAATAAAAATATATATTTTTCAGCTCTTCTTAAACAAATTATTGAAAATACAAGAACTGTTCTGAAATCAAAACTATATTAGGTATTTACTTTAGATGGTCTATACTTACTTTACTATAAATATGAAAGTCGTAAATTAAACAGGATGTTCAAAATTCTACGCCAAACTTTCTAAAATATAAAATAATTTTTCTTCGTTTTTTTTAATGGAACACCCTGTATATTATTTTTTCAATAGACGGAGAATTAGAAAATGAACATTTTTTGTATTTAGAGTATTTCAAAATTTTTAACAGTTTCGCAGATATTTGCGGTTTTATATTTCATATGGCATTTTCCATAGTAAATTTTTATCAAAGCCACCCAATGATTTTTCTCTGTATAATACGAGTTACGAGTTAAGGTGAGCCAATCCAAAACTCTACCCTGAAAATATTCAATAATAATATCGAATCTATAAAAGATAATAACTCATCTTTACCTGTAGCTTCGAAATGGCAGCTGATTCAGATTTTGCAGCAAGATTTAAATTGCCATTTCTAAAAGCCGGGATACAACAGAGCGGCAAAACAAAGTGAGGTTAAGCACGGAGAGAGTTGACAGAAGCGATGTTGACAGCGTCTCTACAGAGCGATAACAGGGTTGTGTCAAACGATAACAGGGTTGTGGACTAGAGAACGTAAAAATTACGCCAAGCGCGTCAACTAAATTATCCGGCCTGAACGATAAGGAATCCGGTGATGATACGCCAGACATCATATATCATAATCAAAGACATGTAACGAACTAAAAAACGTTTACAGTACGTTGGATAAATTTATACTCATATCAAAGCATGTTAAATTGTGTTTGAAACAACTCATATTTTTTTCTTGGTCTGATAAATAGATCCTAAAAGACACAGTTAAAGTCAAAGGTTCACAGTGGGCCGATTTCTATGCACGCAAGTTTAGTTTCATTTCAAGAATTTCGTTACCATGACAGTTGTTTTATATATTCGTTTTATATATTTTATATATTCGCAGTATAAAATAATACTGCGTGTATCTGCGAAACCGTTAAAAGTTTAAAAATACTCTAAATACAAAAAATGTTTATTTTTTAACTCTCCATCTAATAAAAACATTATATACAGTTACATAATATACTATTTAAAAAAAAAACAAAGAAAAAATATTTTATATTTTAGAAAGTTTGGCGTAGAATATTGAACATTCTGTATGATTTACAATTACCATATTTATAGCAAAGTAAGAACAGACCATCTAAAGTAAATACCTAATATAGTTTTGATTTCAGAACAGTTCTTGTATTTTTAATAATTTATTTAAAAAGGGCTGAAAAATATATATTTTTGATTTATTTTTTAATATCTCTGAAACTATCGAAATATATTTATTCATATCTTAGGATTATGTAAAGTAATCTGAAAAGAAGCCAAAAATGCAATAATATACAGAGTGTTCCATTTAAAAAAAAGCATCCCGATCCACTCACACTTTTTTGAGCCATCCTATAAAAATTAAAATATTTTCCTGGAATACGTCCTAGAGCATACTTTAGATATGCACTTAAACAAAATCCTTAAATTTCTTATTCTAGGAGCTACAGATGCCCGACGCACTATTGCCGGACCCTGTATATTCTATTTTCATATTTCACTTTAATTAAGTAATGACAGCTGCACATCGCTGTATTTGTTAAATTTAGATTGTCAAATTTGTTGTATTTTATTAATTTGATAATGTTTTTTGGAAACTGTTATACAAAGTTAATCTCTCTTATCTCCTCAATTATTACAAGGGCAACATTTTTCTACAAATATCAACATGATATGCTGTTAGACGGTTATAATTAGTAAAGAATAGAAATTATACAATTTATACTTTGTTATCAAAACTACTCTGTTCAATACAGATACTGACATAAATCGGACAATAAAGCGACCTTCCTAAGAAAAGATAAATTATTCAATTAAGCAATGCATGCGTGACGTTCTAGTATTTTTTTACTCATTAAATCATATTCAAGTACCTGAAAATGGTATAAAAACAACAATTTAACAATTTCATAGACAAAATCATTCAACGAACCGCTCATTTCATCATTTTTTTACTGAATATTGTTAATTTCTGCTTTGTTAACTTTGGTTTGTAAAATAATTTGTGTAAAAAAATAATAGAATGATATAGACTTAAAAACGAGAAGAGCGTTTATTGCCTATTTATATTTATTTTATTTAATGCAAAATATGAGATTTTTATTCCACATCAAAATGTACATACAGGGTGGCGCCACTCATACGACGCGAAGGCTCCAAGAAGAACGACACTTATTGAAATTAAATTTTGAGAGCATATGAAGAACAATATTTAAATTTCAATAAAAACTATCTAAATTGGAATTTATCCGGTATAGCCTAATATGTAGTTAAAATAGTAGAACTCTATATATTTTTACAAAATACCTTCAATCAACCCAAAATTTAATTTCGATATATGTATACCTACTACCGTTCTCCTTGGAGCCTCCGCGTCGCCGTCATGGAGAGGCGCCACCCTGTATTTTTAATGTTTTATGTGTTTTTTACGTCATAATCTAGTTATTTATTAAAAATACTAATTTTGTAATATTAAGGTACTTACTGACTTACCAAACTCCCATGGGCCGAAGCTACGCGATCCTCTGGGAATAGGAATAAATCTACCATGATCCATAAACCTCTCCAGACGAATACTACCAGTGTCCCTACCACTAATACGGAAAATAAGCAATCCAGAATAAGTAAGGACACTTTTTCTTTTACCTGTAAAATAAAATAAGTATTAATCTTAAAATATTTTTAGTAATGTTAATCTTGTTTTGTCTTTATATCAAATCAGGTTAAAATTTACTAAAAATATCTTGTAATTAGTCTATGAACAAAATTGTTTTTCCAATTATCCAAAGGTAAATTTTAATGATATCTAATTAAATTACAGCTTATTTAATCACTGTCAGCTAATCATCATCGCTAGTTTTTGAGTACCCGTACTTGTACCCGCACTTTGAGTACCCGCGCCTGTTTTCGTAAATATGCAATCAGAGTGAGAGCACCAGTCTCCGTAAATTTTATAGATAGAGCTTCAATGGAGCTCAGAATCCGACTTGTTACATAACATAAGATAAGCAAATATCTACAGACTGTTCAACCATCGTTCACCGTTATGTCATCATTAGATATTTATTTTGTCAAATTTGACTTTTAGGCCCAGCGCCCACGGTCCGACTGTTTTGTGACAGAAGATGCAAATTTGCAACTATTTTGCAACCTCGGTAACGTATTGTAGTAGACGATATAGTAGTGTGAAGACGCACACGAATCGATTCGAATAGAACTATAGCAATCAGTCAAAAATTTGTTCTTCGCAACTATTTCCCGCAGTCACAGTTGCGTTGCAATTTTTAGAGTTACCCATATTCAAGTGATTTCCACGTAGTTATTTTATATATTTCAAAACGGGCGAAGAACTGAAAATAAAATTTGTCGGAAAGGTTGAGAAACACCAGGAACTCTATAATTATATTTTTTTTAATGAACTGCTACACCAACTGACTGAAACTGATTCAGAATGCGTTGCATCCGTATGCCTGCAGCAGTTTCATTTTAGTTGGAAATTGATTGTAGAGTAAACTAGTTTGCAACTTTTGTTTCAAAATAGTCGCGCCGTGGTTGCTGGCTCTAGAAAATTTTAAGTACGCTATATTATTGATTGAGCGAGTTTTTTTTCTTTGCATTTATTAATTTTTTCTTGAACTCTTCATAGTTACCATCCCTTTAATTCCAATCATTTGGATTGGTGAAATTCCTATTTCTAAAGCATCACCAACTCGCTATATTATTTAAAAAGGCTATCAATTTGTATTCTACATTGGAATATTACACCTTTGCATTGTACTTACTTCATATAGGGACAAGAGTGTTCCACCAGCATCTCTTTTTTGTAAAAAAATAATTTATAAGCTTAGGAATGTTGGTTAAATGTTAGCTTGTTCATTTTGGTTAAATCCTAGAGGCATTTTTGCAATAAAAAATTTGAATTTTGTTTTACTTACAGCAACAATCTAATTTTAATTTTGACATTGATCGATGTCCGGCAATAAAATTATAACCCCAAATCAAATGACAATGACAATTACTAAATAGAATATGCAGTAAGTTACGAAATGCCGTAATGACGTCACCAATCTCTTTCATCTGATTGGCAAATGATTGAGAGAGTTCGACAATATACCGGGTGCGTCTCAAAAGTGGCTCACCCCAATAGCTTTTTTATTTTTTTAGTTAAAAAAACGAGATTTGGTATGCTGTTATATGACATAAATTAGGATTGATTAGCGTATTTAATTGTTTTCGGTCACTTCCTGTTTCACCTGAAATGACTACAACTTTTGATTTTTAAATGTCATCCTCGGTATTGTTTTACTTTATTTGATAGAAAATAACACTCTGAATAGAATGACATATCATATTTCAACTTTTTTTTTCATATGGCGAAAGAGGAAGTGACCAAAAACAATTGAATACATCAATCAATCCTCATTTATGTCATATACTAACATACCAAATTTCGTTTTTTATCTGAAAAAATAAAAAAGTTATAGGGGTAAGCCACTTTTGAGACGCACCCGGTATAACGTGACGTTGAGCAATGGCTGAACATTCTATAGTAATAGTCCGGGAGGCAGCGTTTTTTTTTCAAAGAATTTCATTCCGGCTAAGTTTAATACGGTAAGTTGTACACACATTCAACTTGACGAAACCGACGGTTAGCCGATCCAGTAGCGGTGGGTGCGAGCGTTGGAGCCTGCGATATTCGTAAAAAAAAGAGATTTCTGAGAGTAACAAAAAAGACCGTCAGCCGCTTGACAGAGGGTGGAAAATACGTCAGTCGAGCGCCTAAACTTGAGAAAAAAATACGAAATTCAAATTGGTTCATCCCATTTGAAACTTTTAAACAAAATTTCGTACTTAGGTATAATTATTGTATTTAGGTATATATTTTTGACTGGCCGTCGAAAGACGCGTGATCATCGAGAAATAAGAAAAAGTACTTTGGTATACCGTGTGCGTTTCGAAAGTGGCTCACCCCTATAACTTCTTTATTTTTTCAGATAAGACAACGAGATTTGGTATGTTAGTATTCGATATAAATTATGATTGATTGACGAATTCAATTGTTTTTGGTCACTTTCTGTTTCATCGGAAATGACTATGTACAACTTTTGATTTTTAAATGATACCCTCGGTATTTTTTACTTTATTTGACCTTAAGTATTTGACAAAAAATGACACTCTCAATAGAATGACATATCATATGTCAACTTTTGATATTTTTGCTTTAAAAAGAGTCGCCAAGCACTGTAATGTATGACGCGCGGACTTTTCCATGGTCTGACTGTCGGCTTTTCCCCCAATGGGCAATCAGCTGACGAATATTTCAAATGTGTTTATATTAAAACTATAATATTTATTAATTTCAATTGTTTTTTTTACGAATTACCCGAAGTATGCATTATACAAGGTACCTGGTGTTTCACTTAGAATATTTCTCGGCTGTATCTCAGAAAGTATTCGCCCGCATCTGCGGTAGAAAATATTTATACGCGACTCTATCTGCGGTAGAAAATATTTATAAATAAAGAAGCCATAAGAAATTGCTGAGAATTATTTTCAAGTTTGTAAAATGTCCACTAGAGAGAGCAACAAATAAGAAACTGTAATTTTAACAAAATTCTGCCTAGATAAGGGGTACTATAAAAATGGTGTCATAATTTTTAGCAAATTTCGGATTTTTCTTGTTTGAGCAATTTTGCCCTAACTCATAAAATAAAGTAGCGGGGTAGGTAAAGGTAAAAACTGTTTTTATTTAAATGTGAATACCTCCGGACTAGTTAATCCCTGAGTTAATCGGCATACAATTAATAGAATGTTCCTTTCTCTATATTAAACTATACCATATAAATAAGAACAATTAGCATTTTATAGTAGACGCTAAACCCTGATTGAAATTTATTAGTATCTAGAAACTTCAAAAAGTATTATAGCAGCATTATATATTTTTAATTTTTTCATACTGTTGTTTTAATTTTCTGCACTGGTGTATTTGCTTAATAAAGTTTTATAAACAATATTTTAATGAAATTATATAACTAACATTGACCGAAGAAAAACATAAAGTAGCCTTGCTTTCGCCGAATATGTAAAAAATTTGCCAAGTTAAAGGTCCTCGACTATTGGTACTACGGATTACTTGTATTACATTGGCACGAATATTTTTGCAAACGGTACCAAGGGCAGTACGTTATATAACAAATAACTTTATACAATCTAATTTTGATTTTTAGTTACATTACGGAAATTCATTTGGATTTTAATTTTCGTATACTTATATTAATAGAGGCGGTTGATTTTTTGGAAGAAATTGAACGGGTGGTTGCAATTACCAGGCACCTCCACTTTGAATTACCCTAAAAAATTGGCCGATCGTTTCCTGCAACAATCAGTTCTCTCAATATAACAGGACATAAATGGCAACGTTAGTTGGAGCTGCCTAGCTTTGGGTTTGCGGCAAGAACTGAGCAGCTCCTTTTCGATTTCCCACAAATTTATTAAAATGGAGCCGCCTGGTAATTGCAGCCACCCCTTCAATTATTTATCTTTCATCATTGAACTCTAGAGGTGCAACCAAACCAAACGATGTTAGCATCATCAGCAGATGATTAAGTTCAAAATAAGGTGCTTTGTTGTATTTTGGCAAACTACTGATATTTATCTAACACTAAAGGTGCCATCCTCAACTGTATTCTACTAATAATCTATTTACTGTTGGTTAGAATGAATACAATTTTATCAAATATTACAAAAAATAAGAGGCTAATATCAGAAAAAAGTAACAAATTACCATTAATTAATATTTATCCAATAAAAAAAATATCTAAAATTTCTAGACACAGTTTACTATAGACGTATATAAAATACATAACATTAATTCAAGTACTACAGTATGTCCTATTGTCTTTACAAGAGGAAAAACTTTTTTATTATTGACATTTTGAGAAAGATAAATTTTTCAATGAAATTTTTGCTTCTTCTAAAATAGTTAATAACGTTTATACCAAATTTTTATACTGTTTTAGACAAAATTTAAAAAAAACATGAGAATAGAGTTAACTTTTTTCCTAAAATTCTAGGCGTTTCTATAGTAATATAATTTCGATTTCATTCTTTGATAGGTGGTTATTATTATTAATTATTATGGTTTATGTCATATTTTTGCTGTTGTAAAAGTATTACTTTTTCTGATAACTATTGTCACTACTGTCACTACTTTCCGTAGCATTAAACTAAATAAATTTTGTGATGCTTTAACATTTTAAAACAGCAAAAAATATTATGTTAATTAAAATTCTATCTATAACAATCTATCAAAGAATGAAAACGAAATTATATTACCATAATAACGCTATTTTCAAACTTCTCTAAAACGCTATGAACATTTAAAAAAGTATAAACGGAATTAACCATTTTAGAATAAGCAATTTTTTTATGAAGAATTCGTGTTTCTCAAAATGTCAAGAATAAAAAAGTTTTTCCTCTTGTAAGACAATCCGGGGACATACTGTATATTGTTTCATATAGCCTTCGTACTACTATTATTATTACAGTACATACTAATAGTTTTTATCAGCTTTATACTACAAAAATGCTAGTATTTTTTCAAACACGAACATATTTCCTTCTCAACCTTCGTTTTGTTTAATTAT